TAGTTCATTCTTTATTGAGTATATGAGTTTCACTTGTTCAATTTTTTTCAATTCGTCTATATTTGTGATTTTTGTTTTTTTTTGTATATATGTCATGTCAACACTGTGAGTATATTAATTCATGAGATATATGGTTTTCACAGCTTTATTTTGTATTCTTTACAGTTTTTCGAGTTGGTATTTTGGAGTGTTTCCTCAGCAAGTCAGGAGATACCTTAAATAAAGTTCTATGAAACTGTTATAGAGAAATTGTCTCGCACTGTTATTCAATAGATGTGAGCACCTTTTTATTGCTCCTAACATTGGTGATATTTTTTTAATGATGTTATCAATATGGGCAGCAAGTATAGTGTCATCTGCAAACATGAAGTATTTTGATTTTAGTAGAAGATATTGTAAGTTGTGTACATACAGGAGGTACTGGATAGGTCCGAGCACTGAGCCCTGGGCTACACCGACTTTAAATTTTACTTTGTCACTTTTGCTATCATTTATTTCAGTATAATATTCTCGATCAGTAGATTATTATGATTGTAATAGGTTTAAACACACACTACGAAATCTCATTTTACATAGTTTCTTTTCTATGAGTTCGATATCAACTGTGTCAAACGCCTTTTGCAAATCAACAAAAACCGAATCAACATGTCTTCCTATCCAATTCTCCCTTAACATACTCTACAAGGTTCTCTGTGGCACCCAAAGTATTGCTTTGTTTTTGGAAACTGTATTATTGTTTGTCAAATTAAAAAGTCTCTTTGATGTGTTTAATTCGGGGTTTAATTAACTTTTTCTTCATGACTTTCTCTACAATCTTGGAGAAGGTGCTTGGTAAGGAAATCGGGCAGTAATTGTTCACATCACTATTTGGTCCTTTTTTGTGTACTGGAATTATTTTAGATACTTTTAAGTAGTTCCTATGGATATTTTCCACTCTCAAGTACTTTATTTTCTAAATTTACCAGGATTTTGCCAATCACATCAAATAGTGTTAAAATGTCTGTTTTTGTCAATTGATCTTCACTGGGAGCACTGAGGCAGTTTTTGCCTCACACCCCCTTAATTTCTACCCGATTTCAACGTAATTAGGCTCAAATTAAAGCCAATTAAATTCTCTACAAACTTATTCATTAAGATTTCCATTAGTTTCAATAGTTTTCCATCTGAGTAGCTTCAAAATAGAATTTAGCGAACATTGAAAATTTTCCAAAAATGATTCTGAGACAGTGCTTGCCTCACAGCTCCGTTAATTTTCATCCAATTTTAATGTAATAAGCTCTAATTAAAGCCTAATAAATTGTCTTCCAAGCTATCAAACACGATTTCCTTTTGGTTTAAGCAGTTTTGCACCTCAGAAAGTTCAAAATTGAATTTATTGAACTTTGCAAATTTTCCAAAAATTATACTGAGACAGTTTTTGCCTCACAGCTCCGTTAATTTTCATCCGATTTCAATGTAATTGAGCTCTAATTAAAGCCAATTAAATTCTCTACAAACCTATTAATTAAGATTCCAATTTGGTTTCAACAGTTTTGCACCTGAGAAGCTTCAAAATTGAAATTATCTAACATTGAAAGTTTGCCAAAAATGACATTGAGGCAGTTTTTGCCTCACAGCTCCTTTAATGTTCATACGATTTCATTGTAATTAAGCTCTCATTTAGGTCATCTAATTTCTCTACAACCTTGTTAATTATGATTTTAATTTAGTTTCCATTATCTATTTACTAGGTTATTAGTACAAATTCTTTTTTTTGTTATGTTACTCTAGTAGTCATCTTGAGAAAAGTTACTTCCGATTTTTACTTTTGTATCTAAGAATTGTTTGATTAATACCTATCAGTTGACTATTTTGCCTTGGAATTTTCATTTTGTTTAATATAGATAAGAAAAAGGGAATCTTAAATTTTGGATTGATATTTGGCACTATGGTAGAATTGAGTGCTGTATGAGTGGGGTTTCGATACAAAAAGCCCACTGGGTTTTTCTCAATATTGATGGTGGGTTTTTGTTTCAGGAACTCGGTGAGTTTTTGAAATGGGTTTTTGTGTATGACACACCTGGATTCAATTCAAATATGCAACCTAAGTTTTGTGACTCCAAAGACATATAAGTCCCACAATAAAGTGCAATGTCCTCAGCCTGGAAGCTTAGCACTATCTGGTTCCAAATTTCATAAAACCCCTGTGTACCGAACTGAATTATTGAACTACAGGGCTCTGCTGAGAAATAAAAAAAAAACTAATCTAACGGGTGAATTTCAAGGGGATGTAACCTCAACCTGAAAAATACAGGTCAGCTAATTTTTTCTGAGAATCTGATTAAATTTTGTTGCATTTATTTCCCTATAGAGATATAGTCTTATTTATCCACAAACCCGCTTACGTAAAAATAATCATGTAATCTATTTAAATTTAATTTTTTGTTATCATATTTGTTTAATTCCCTAAAAAGTCTATTCGATAATGTGGGTATTATAATTTTAAAAGAGAAATGTTGCAACACTGAATTTTCTATTGTATCGACTTTACTTTGCCTTTATCAGGTAGTCTGTGTCACCAGTGGACCAGTGATTTAGGTTGCTTTATTTTTCAGAGGCACAAATATATTTATAAAAATGCGAATTTGGAGTATTTGGACCCTAGCAAGTCTAAGAACATAGTACCATCGTTAGTACCATTGAAAGCACTGAACAAAGGAAAAGTCATAGAAGTTTACATTATATACTAATATGCATATAATATGAGTTATATCTTTCAATAATTATAATTCTACACATATTGTCTAATGTCTTATCGCGTCTACTCCATTAATTCAATTTGCAAATTTCAAAGCAAATATTTTAACATGGCTAACGTGCACTAGAGGCCCAGAGCCGATGGGGAAACCACCTAGTAAAAATGTGTACACCAACTGCCAAACTGCCAAATAATGCGGTTTACTGCTTATAATGTCGTTTACTGCCAAATAATGCTTGTTACTGTTGAATACTGCTCGTTACTACCAAATAATGCCAGTTATTGCCAATACTGCCGCCACCTCAACAACTGCCACTAGTGGTTAACCCCGCGGGCAAACCACTTAGTAAAAATGTGTACACCAACTGCTAAACTGTCACATAATGTCGTTTACTGCCAAATAATGCCATTTACTGCTGATAATGCTTGAAAATGCCATTACTGCCTATAATGCTTCTTATCGTTTAAATATAGACAACGATTTTTAAGAAAAAATACCACCGACAGATGTCGCTATAGATGGCAAAATACTGCTAGATACTGCCAAATATTGCTATTTACTGCCCTGCCGAATAATGCTTGTTACTGTTGAATACTGCTCGTTACTACCAAATAATGCCAGTTATTGCCAATACTGCCGCCACCTCAACAACTGCCACTAGTGGTTAACCCCGCGGGCAAACCACTTAGTAAAAATGTGTACACCAACTGCCAAACTGCCAAATAATGTAGTTTACTGCTTATAATGTCGTTTACTGCGGAATAATATAATTTGGTGCTAAATAATGCCATTTACTGCTGAATAATGCCATTTACTGCTTGTAATGTCATTTACTGCTGATTATGCTTAAAAATGCCATTACTGCCTGAAATACTTCTTATCGTTTGAATATAGACAACGATTTTTATGAAGAAATACCACTAGTTACTGCCGAATAATGCTTGTTACTGCCACATAATGCTTCTTAGTGCCGAATACTGCTCCTTACTTTCAAATAATGCCAGTACTGCCACCTGTCTGTACACCAACTGCCACTAGTGGTTGAGCCCTCACTCAGAGGCGGAATTCTGTAACAGATAGAGATCATTATCGATATAGCTATGGCACTTGCTGTCTTCTTCTCTCTTTTCGAAATTAATAGAGAGGGGACGTAAATAGCGATAGCGAAAATATCGCTGTTCGTTACAGAATCCCAGCCCAGAGCATAAAAAATCGAAATTACCAGCTGACCATCAGGGTGTCATTTGACTCTGTTTTCAAGTGGGTTTGTAGTGATTTTATTGCAACAAATAAAATTATTTTGTGGTTAAACTAAAAAAAAAAAAATATTTCTTGATTGAGAAGAATGTCCTAAATTCAATCAAATTTATAAATACTTAATGCTTGTGAACGTTTTGCATGATTTATGTTAGAGGGCAACGCGAAACCCTGTCAATTGTGTAAATCCAACTTTAAAATAGCTATTGGTTGTTGCATCTGGCAGGCGAGTAAACTAAAAATAGATGAATATGAAGAGCACGCGAATCCTAATTTTTATTGCACCAAGATTTAAGTACCCATAATGAACTTTTAAATAGAAACTTCGCAAATTTGTGTGGGTTTGGTCTTTTTGGTCTTTTTATTGCTTGTCAATGATAAATATAGAATGCACAAAATCTAGCAATAAAATTTTAATTTGTTCCTGGAATAGTTCCTAATGTTGAGCACCGCATTGCCCCATTTGAAAGATAATGCGATCTTTTGAATAAATGCTTTTAGATATTTTGCTAATTTGCATGTCGTTTTTTAAGCTTCTCCCAGCAGAAGGTAGGGGATTGATTGAAGGTCTCGACAGAGTGAAACATACAAAACTTCCAACTATTCATATTTATCTACTATAAGTAGCTGTCCCATTTATTGATCTATTATCATTTCATGGCTCTGGCTTAGCCGATGTTTTTCGTTTTTCAGAAGTTTGCTTGGACAAATAGGAAATTTAAAAACTGAAGGGACAACATCCATTGTTGATATATTTTTGTAGAAATATGATTTGGGTGCCATAAAACCCCCTTGTTTGTTGAGTTCTCTGAATTGATCAATGGATCTAGCTACTAGGGGTTGATAACAATAATCGTTTCTAATTTAGATTTCAAATCAAACACTTATACAATAATTACATTTTTGTATACATGTATACTTAAAATAAGATAAAAACCTTGATAAGAACACATATAGAAATCGAATACATAAATATTAGAATATTTCCTTAACAAAAATTCGCAGAAACTGGAAGAACTGAACAAATTTCCTGACTTCAACAACTACTTAATGTTCGTTCTCACCAAACTAACTACAGAAGATGAACCTACCAGATCGCTTAGTGGATTAATCCTTAAAAATAATGTAAAATCCCATTTTCAAAATCTTGAACCAAACGTGGCTGTTTATATCAAAACAGAATGTCTACAAGCCGTGGGAGACGCAAGCCCACTTATAAGAGCCACAGTTGGGATTTTGATAACGACAGTCGCTAGTAAAGGGGATTTATCATCATGGCCGGAACTTTTGCCTGCCCTATGTAACATGCTAGACTCAACAGATTATAATATGTGCGAAGGAGCTTTTGGAACTTTGCAAAAAATATGCGAAGACTCTGCTGAAGCACTGGATGCTGATACCACAAATAGACCTTTAGATATTTTAATTCCCAAATTTTTGCAATTTTTTAATCATTCTAGTTCCAAAATTAGATCATTCGCTATTGGCTGTGTTAATCAATTTATAATTCAGAGGTCGCATGCGCTGATGTTCCACATTGACGCATTTTTACAAGTGAGTAATATTCATATTTCACATATCCAACAAGTTTTAAATCGTATTTTTCTAGAGCCTATTTCAAGTGGCAACTGATGATGATTCAGAAGTGAGAAAAAACGTTTGTAGAGCGTTAGTAATGCTGCTTGAAGTCAGAATGGACAGGCTTATAAGTCAAATTGACAACATCATTGAATATATGCTTGTGAGGACTCAAGATGCAGATGAAGGAGTAGCATTGGAAGCCTGTGAATTTTGGCTGAGCCTTGCTGAGCAGCCCATTTGTAAAAATGTACTTTCAAATCATTTGAACCGTTTAATTCCAATTCTAGTAAGAGGAATGAAATACTCTGAAATTGATATCATATTACTTAAGGTGAGACTTTTGATTATAAAAGATCTTATTAGGACAGTCAACTGGTTACTCAAAATTACTAGCGTTTTATTGTCTGCTCATGCTCAATTATACTCTATTTCTTTTTCCTATTTGTCATGTTACTTTTGTAGGGTGACGTTGAAGAAGATGACACTGTTCCAGACAAAGAAGAAGATATCCGACCAAGATTCCATAAATCGAAAACACACACCATCAAAACTACCCAAAATGGGCTAGAGAATGGGACAGATAAAGGTGAGGTCTGTGGTAATATATTTTTGAAATTTTTCTGTGGCAGTTAATTTATCTTGGGTCCTACTGTGTAACGGATAGTGGTCCATATTGGCCTCGCTATCAGATTTGTTAACTACTTTCATAATAAAATCAATAGTAAGGGGATGCGGACTATATCTGCTACATAGCTGTCTGGAGATTTTACCCTCGTTGACAAAACTTGACTTAAACTAAAAGCACATATCTAAGTAGGTATAAGAAATGGAAAAAAATTATATTCAACAGAATATTTGAAATAACGCACAGTCGAAGAAGCATAATAGAACAAACAATTATAATAAAACAAGACACAACATTCTTTTCAGAAATACAAATGCATATGATACAAAAATATCCATCAGAATTTACAAATATACGTAAATATTCATGCACTTTAAATTAAAAATAATAAAAATCAAAGAAAATAAACATTTTGAAATTTATTTTGAAATCCGTGATTAAAATACTGATTCATTCAAACTATTATGCTTAATCAGGAAGGAATTTCCTGACGTCATCTTGAAATTTTTTGATTACATTTCATAATGAAACAGGCAAATCATTAAACATTCTTCACAGTATACTGGGTGCTCACGAGATTACTTTCCGGCTGCCATTTTTTTATTTGTCTATCGATATCAATGAAACTTGGTAGGGTTGATATTCTAACCAAACGACATTTTTATGCATCTATGGCAAGTTTTCTAGACTTCCGGACTTGGAATCCGAAAAACAAAAAATATACAGGGTGTGCCATTTAAAAATCAAAAGTACCGGTCATTTCCGGTGGAACCGGAAGTCAGGAAAACTTGTCATAGATGCATAAAAATGGCGTTTGGTTAGAAAATTAACCCTACCAAGTTTCTTTAATATCGATGAACAAATAAAAAAATGGCAGCCAGAAAGTAATCTCGCACCTGGTATAGCCATGTTTGATCTATATGATTTCTATTATATGTATGTAGGTACCCAGAAATTTTAAACATTTTTTTTTTTGTGTTTCTCAATTTTTCTAGACGAAGATGAAGATTATGATGATATTGACGACGATGGTTCGCTGTCCGATTGGAATCTAAGAAAATGTAGTGCAGCTGCACTAGATGTACTTGCCAATGTTTTTAGAGACGACTTATTGCCCATTTTAATCCCTATTTTGAAAGAAACTCTTTTCCATCAAGATTGGGATGTCATAGAGTCTGGAATACTAGCATTAGGTGCAATCGCTGAAGGCTGTATGTCAGGCATGATAAGTCATTTGCCAGAACTAATACCTTATTTGATCAACTGTCTTAATGACAAAAAAGCGCTGGTTCGTGCTATAACTTGTTGGACCCTCAGCAGATACTCACATTGGGTCGTGTCCCAACCTCACGACCTATACCTGAAACCTCTAATGACGGAACTTCTGAAAAGAATATTGGATAGTAATAAAAGGGTTCAAGAAGCAGCTTGTTCAGCGTTTGCTACTCTAGAAGAAGAAGCGTGCACAGAATTAGTGCCGTATTTGGGTTTCATTTTAGAAACTTTGGTTTTCGCCTTTTCAAAGTATCAACATAAGAATTTGTTGATTCTTTATGACGCTATAGGTACATTAGCAGATTCTGTGGGAAGTCATCTGAATAAACCTGAATATATCAGTCTTTTAATGCCACCTTTAATACATAAGTGGAATGTATTAAAAGACGAAGATAAGGATTTGTTTCCATTGCTAGAGGTAACTTTAGTGTAAATATAAAAGTAACTATTCAAATTTTGTGTACTTTTACTTTATAGTGCTTGTCAAGTGTAGCAACTGCTCTTCAATCAGGTTTCTTGCCATACTGTGAGCCTGTATATTGCCGATGCGTGGCACTTGTTCAACACACCCTTTGTCTTCACATGGTATTAAGGCTTTATCAATTTTTTAAATTAAGAATAAATCTATACATTTCAGGCATATAACAGAACCCTGAACAATACGAAGCTCCCGACAAAGACTTCATGATTGTAGCCTTGGACTTGTTATCAGGACTAGCAGAGGGACTTAATGGACACATAGAAAAACTAGTAGAAAATAGTACTATTATGCAACTGTTGCACCTCTGTATGCAAGATTCAATGCCTGAAGTCAGGCAATCGTCTTTTGCCTTGTTAGGCGATCTCACTAAGGCGTGCTTCCAGCATGTCAGACCACACGTAGCAAACTTCTTGCCTATACTTGGGCAAAATCTTAATCCTGAGTATATTTCTGTTTGTAACAATGCCACATGGGCTGTAGGTGAAATTAGTATCAAATTAGGTAAGCAGAGCTAACTATTATTGTTCATTATACAGGGCGTCCTAAGACATTTTGCAGGTAAATATCTCAAAAACTAGAAAAGATTACCTGAAGCGGTTTGTTCTGGGAGAATCGGGATTTTTTCCTAAAATTTGCTGGTATTCAACGGTTTTACAGACATGCGATACATACTGCCTCATCTTCAATGAAACACCCTGTATATTTTGTAATCGTCAGAGAGCCTGATTTTTCTACTTTACAAAAATTTATAATTTTTTTTAATTATCTTGGAATCACATCGTAAAAATTGCACTTTGTTAAAGAGGCTACCATCAACTGGCCAAAAACAGAAAAATACTTCAAGCAATTAGAGGAACGTCAAACTTTCAGGAGTTATTTGAGTATGCTCTTTTTATCAAACAGAATAAATCGCGAATAGATCTTAGGCTCAGAAATGGAATTATGAATTTCCTCTCACTTAGATGCCAAAAAATCATGTAAAATTTCTATTAAATCATCTTTGGAAGCTTCTGAATAATACTTCAAGCAATCAGAGGGACTCCAAACTTTCAGGATTTATTGAATAGAGTAGTTTTATCAAACAGAATAAACCGCGAATGGATCTCAAACTTAGAAATGGAATAATGATTTTTTTCTAACTGAAATGCAATAAAATCATGTAAAATTTCTATGAACTCACCTTTGGAGGCTTCTGAATAATACTTCAAGCAATCAGAGGGATTTCAAACCTTCAGGATTAATTGAGTAGGGTCTTTTCATTGGAAAAAAAAACAAACTGCGAGTGGATATCAGACTCAGAAACGGAATTATGAATTCCAACCAAACTAAATTGAAAAAAAAGTCCATTCTTCTCACAGTGGAGCGATATCAAGAAGTGAAACTCACAGTCTTCTCCACAATTCTTTGGGTAAATTTTTTTTTTAAATCTTACGGCGAGTGCATGTTTCTGATACATAATTAATTCCGTCTTCAGCTCTTAAACAACAATATGAGAATGATAAATTACTATCTATAAATACTATTTTTCATTCAGAGAACCTAGATCTGTGCATTACAATTTGTTTTAAAAATTCATAAACATAAAACTTAATAAGTCACATAACAAAAATCGCTCTATTGTAGTGGGCCAAACATCAACCAATCAAATTCAACTAAGAAACGACGTTCTTCAAGATGTTCCGGCATCTGCTATATTGCAGCATGCAACAAACACAAATAATTGCACTTTCAGTTTCAGTATTTATCGTCGTTAACTTTTTCGTTATTGTTATTTGAATGTTCTTTAAATAAGTTTCCTACTAATACATCATGATAAAAAAATCCGATTCCATTATTTTTTTGTGCATAAAAAAATCGTGCGGAAAAGTAACTTTTCCGCACTAGTGCTTAAAAGTTACTTTTCCGCACGATTTTTTTATTGGTAAAAATATTATGTGCTATTTTGTACCATCATTATAAAATCTCTGCGTATCGAAAACATTTTTTTTTTGATAAATAAGATGGACAAAAACACTCTTAGGAAAAACATTGTACCTAACTCTTGCGGAAAATGTCTTTTCCACCCCCGACGGAAAAGTACCACTTTCCGCACTTGTTAGGTAAATACGAGGGGTCGACACCTCCTGACAGTAGGTGTACAAATCAGTTCACAGTACCTACAATACCTAAACAATACGGTCATAGGTCTGTAAAAATACCATGTATTTTCATAGCAATTGTCACAATACCTAAAATGACTCACAATACTTTCAAAATAGCTCTACAGTAATGACAATACTGAAATAATACAAAAAATCTGTCAAAAATACTTGATAGTATCTCTACAGTACTCGCAATACCCGCCGACAATACTGATAATCCCTTGACAATACTAAAAGAATACGTGTGAATCGGGTTACGCGCTTTTGAAAGCGATGCACCACATGACAGGCCAAGTGACAGAGAGGTGCATTCATTCGCAAATTTGCAATGAAATAAGTGAAGTGTCATATTGCATACAGTGACTCTATTACCCACAGTGGCGACAATTGCTGTCTTATTTTTGATTGGTTCTAAAATCCCATATATTTATATTGAAAACGCGGCCATCTTGTTCCCACTTATTGCTTATTTCAAATATGAATATATGGGATTTGGGTGAACATCCATCATAAAACATGGAAAACAACGTATTTGATGGACCTGATAATAAACTAAGCGGCAGATGAAGTGGGACACCCGAAAAATTGCCTAATTTTGACTTGCTATAACTTCGACATTTCTTTGCCGATCTTTGATTATCAGGCAGGGTTACAAAGCGCCATCTTTGGTCTAAGCGTCAGTGTCGTCGTAGATTTTTTTAAAAAATTCCTTCTCGTTATACAGGGTGTAAATGTAAGGCGGCGAAAAATTTCCATTTTTTAGCGAAGGGAAAGATGGAGGGTCCAATAAAGTTCTTTCTAGTGGTGACTCGATCACTAGGTCAACACCTCGAGACGTCTTTGCCATTTTTTCGATACATCGCGTGGCTATGGAAATATGGCCATTTTATGGTATTTCGTTTTTCTCTTGAAATTAGCGATTCTTTAATCGAACAATAACAGATTCCGTTAAAATTGCATCATGGAATGCCTTGTATAGAAAATAGTCAACACCAGTGGCGTGCAAAAGGGGGTTTATGAAATTAAAATAAAAAAAATTTATTTTATCTGAAATTTTTAGTTTTGTTGAGCTTTAAAATTTAACTCCCAAATGCACCATAAGGACTCAATTCAGATTAGTTGCTGGAACCAGGTTAGGACTTCTTTTTTATATGCAAATTTTCGAACTAAGCGAGAATAAACTCCCAAGTCCATACGGTGCATATGGGTGTAAAAGGAGTTATAAATAACTCTGATATGGTGTCATTTTGGTTCTCCTCTAGCCTGAATAACTGCGTGACACCGCCTTGGCACGCTCGAAATTATTCGGTTAATTAGCTCTATAGTAACTGACTCCCAGAGCTGCAGAATCATCTCCTCGAGAGAGCTTCTGGCTGACGTTCTTCCCGGGAAAGCTCTAACTTCATTCAGCTCCAGACGTGCTCAATTGGATTCATGTCTGAGGATCTAGGAGGCAATTCGGTACGATTGAACTTTTGCCCTTGCAGATACCGGTTCACTAATAATGCTCGATGAGGCTGAGCATTATCGTCTACAAGAACAAAATCCCCGCCATAATTTCGAGCATGTCGAAGAACTTGCGGAATTTGACATTTATCCAGGGACACTTGGCCGTTAACGTTGCCTCGAAATACCACGATACGAGTTCTGTTCTTCCGATGTGTTAGATACCGACCCAAACTGTCAATCCTCCACCGCCAAATGCAACTTGGGGACGCATGTTTTCTTCTAAAAAACGTTCTCCCCATCTCCGTTAGGTTAGCAATCGGCCGTCAGAATTGTAGAGGTTAAAACGGCATGCATCAACGAAAAGACAGTCTCTCCACCTAAAATCCCAATAATTCAGGTATTCCTGGGCACATATTTTTCTGTTCCCTCGGTGAATGTTTGTAAAAAGTGGGCACTTTGCCCGGCGGGAGAATTGTAACGCTCAACAAAACCGTTAAAATTTTCAAATAAATCCTTTTTTTTTTTTAATTTCATAAATTCCCTTTTGCACGCCCGCCACTGGTGTTGACCATTTCCTATACAAGTCATTCCATGATGCAATTTATACGGAATCTGTTATTGTTTAATTAAAGAATCGCTAATTTCAAGAGTAAAACGAAATACCTACCATAAAATGGCCATATTTCCATAGCAACGCGATGTATCGAAAAAATGGCAAAGACGTCTCGAGGTGTTGACCTAGTGATCGAGTCACCACTAGAAAGAACTTTATTGGACCCTCCATCTTTCCCTTCGCTAAAAAATGGAAATTTTTCGCCGCCTTACATTTACACCCTGTATAACGAGAAGGAATTTTTTTAAAAAATCTACGACGACACTGACGCATAAACCAAAGATGGAGCTTTGTAACCCTGTCTGATAATCCAAGATCGGTAAAGAAATGTCAAAGTTATAGCAAGTCAAAATTAGGCAATATTTTGGGTGTCCCACTTCATCTGCCGCTTAGTTTAGTTATCAAATACGTCGATTTCAATTTTTTATGATAGAGATCCATTTAAATCCTATATATTAATATTTAAAAGTTACAAAAGGTTCGGAACAAAATGGCGGCGGGACCTCTTTTGTCGCCACTGTATGTAAAGGTTTATTTAGCCACTGTAATATTGCAGTGAAAGAAAGTTTTGTGAAAATGTAGAGTCGTCAGCACAAAAAAATGGGACTCCCGATTTTTCCTATTGTAAAACAGACTCACCAGCTACATTGTCGGCAATGACAGGTATTGTCATATTTGACAAAAAATCCATTGTACAGAGAAAACTGATTTACCCAAAATAGCGAAAAATGATAATACCTGTCAGTCGGGTGTCTCACTTTTAATGTTTACGACTGTAATGGTCGATTGCACCAACCATTTTAAGGAAGCCTTATTAGTAATAAGTATTCCTCAAAGCGATGTTTCTCCATATGTCAAAATGTCAATTTAAGGAATACTTATCGGTAAGGCTTCCTTAAAATGGTCGCTGCAAACGGCCATAAGTATTTATAATATACAATAAAGCCCGTTTTACATATTCGTGTATTTCTACATGTAGTTACTACAGAAAGAAATACATATTTTGTTTCGAGGTTTGTTTTTAAAAAGTGCTTGGATGGAATTTGGGAGTGTGGGCGCTGTGGTTTTGTTATAGGAAAATTAATAAAATAATGGATGCACTACGTCATCAAAATCTATGACGTTATGGCATGTCGCAATGTTGCCGCATCAACTTCGTTTTACTTTGACATACCATATGTCTAGTAAATTTTGTCATTTTCCTAGATTACATTTTTATTGATAAATTGACAAGAATCCTAATCCCAAACCAATCCCCAACTCGTTAAGAAGTGACAACAAATCTCAAATTGTTAAAATCAATGACCGAAATTACCGAGGAAATTACCCACGAGTGCCAACCTAAATCCCAGTTTATCGGCAGATTCTGTCATATGATCCGACTGCATTCTATCTCTTTTTAACTTGGGTTGAACAAAAGGAAAAATGCGCTCTGAGTTGAAAACGAATTTTAATTTCTTACAAACTGCAGTTGGCAATAATTTCGTCGTCATTGATGACGTGCATCCATTATTCTAATAATTTTACTATATAACTATAGTTGAACCAAATCCAAGCGGCAGTAATGACATAACTGGCACTGGAGAAGCGCCATGCTGCTTACGTCACAACTGGTTGTTTGGAGTAGGGGGGTAGGAGGGGATTTGTTAAACACAGGCCTTATGAGGATAGGCCATCCTATAGTGTATATCATCCAGGGGTTAGACCGAGGATTAGACAATGTTTTCATTTCTGATTTTGGCAAGGAAAGTTGGTAGTACTGAAATTTTCTGTATATTTGCACCAAAAAATACCTAGCTAATCTTGTGAAGAAATTCATGAATAAATACTTATTTTTATACATGTAGAGATATACGTAAAAATACAAAACGCGAGGGGCGGCTCACTCCCGAAATCGCAATACATTTTCATCCGAAATCTCGTGAAATCACTTCGAAAACCTTTGGAAATCTCGAAATCCATTCGAAATCGCGAAGAGCGAAATGCTATCCGCAATCCTTACGAAACTCTGAAATCCTAACCAAAATCCTTCAGAAATCTCGAAATCCCAAATATCTGAAATATTCCCTTAAAAATCGTTGAAATTCCCTGCGATTTCCGAAATCGAGGTAAAAACTGTGGTGAGCCGCTCTTCGGTATAACGGGTTTAGGAATTAGTAAACAATATACAGGGTGTCAAAAATACCATGGGCCATCATTGGTATATCGTAAACGGTAAAAAAGTTGCCATTTTTGAATGTGATTAAAAATATATTTTCGTTGTTGCCAAATTACTATTAGTTTCCGAGATCCAGGATGATTTGTAGAAAAAACAGTTCTAGGTGTTTTTTACAAATCACCCTGTATCTCAGAAACTAATAGAAATTTGGCAACAACGAAAATATATTTCTGATAGCCATCGGAGATGGCAATTTTTTTCTAATTCAACGGCTCTCCTATCTCTTACTGTTTCCGATATACCTACCAATGGTGGCTCATGGTATTTTAGACACCTTATATGATAAGTTATAGGAAACGTTTTATGTACAGGGTGATCCAGTATAAAGTGAACACCCCCTACCTTTTCGCTAAAAAAAATTTTTTTGAAAAAATCAAGATAGCCATTTAATGTATTTTGTTTCTAGGAATTTGAAAGGGTTTTTTGAAATTTAATTACATTTTTCGTTAAAGCGCTGTGACGCCAAAAGTAATTTTTTTAAATGGAATAACCTATATTGAAATCAATTTTTTGAACGCCCCCATTTTCCTCATTTCAAATATATAGTTTGTTTATCTTTATTTTAGTAATTTGCGATATATTCTCACTTCAAAATTCACATAAAAATAGCCGAAAAGGTATCATAAAACATAATAACCAGTAGTTTTATTAAAGGTAAAATTATTTAGGTTTACCTTGATACCTTTTCGGCTATTTCTATTTGAATCTTAAGATTCTTAAGTGAGAATATATTCCAAATTACTAAAATAAAGATAAACAAACTATATATATTTGAAATGAGAAAAATAAGGGCGTTTAAGAAATGGATTTAAATATAGGTTATTCCATTTAAAAAAATTACTTTTGTCGTCACAGCGCTTTAACGAAAAATTCAATTAAATCTCATAAAACGTTTTCAAATTCCTAGAAACAAAATACCCTAAATAGCTATCTTGATTTTTTCAAAAAAAAAATTTTTAGCGAAAAGGTAGGGGGTGTTCACTTTATAATGGATCACCCTGTACCTAATAAACAAAAGCTGTCAATAAAAGTAAACCATCAGCAGTAATTTTTGCACACAATTTACACTTAACAATAAGATTATTACATTCACAGTACTAATATTGGTTATGAAAATACATAAACAGTACCGACAGTATTAAAAATTGCTTTACAATACAGGTTAAGTATTGCTGTTTCATCCATAGTACCCGTAAGGCACCAGTTACCTAAATACTTAAAATATGTTAACAATATTTGACAATCCCTACAATACCATACAATACCTAGAATAAAGTGACAATACCTGACAATACTCGACAATACTCGACTAGAACGGCCAGTTTACAGTAGGTGTACAAATTTCCACTCAGGTGTTGACCCCTCGGGTAAATAACTATTTCAATAACTAATTAAAAGCTTGGCAACAAAGTGTAATTTATACGATGCAATTTCATTAATTTATAATTTTTTGTAAAATAGAAAAATAAGGCTTTCTAACGATGTCAAAATATACAGGGTAATTCATTAAAAATAAGACAGTATTTTTATTTCAAAAAATCGCATATCTGTTGTACCAAATTTCATCAAATTTAGGATTCGGCAATACATACTGTGAAAAAAAAACTTTAAAAAATCCTTATTCTTCCAGAACAAACCAAGTCGCGTTTTAGAAATATCTACCTGCAAAATGTGTCAGTTTATCTAAGGTCACCCTGTATATTAATTTTTTTTGGAATATTTGTTGTACATATTTTCAAAATTTGAGCTCATAGACATTTCAGCGATGTAAAGAAACACATATTTTATTTGTTTCAGAAATTACAAAAACTTACTACGGCTATCTTAAAGAATGAGTTTTACATTGACATGGTTCGATGATAGGTACATATTACTACAATCAATGTCATTGTATTTTTTAAGCTCAATTTTATTAATGGCTGTCATCTGTATAAATATTTCAATAGTATATTCAAAAATATAACATTTTTAGGTTTGAGATAGTGTTTTTGTAAATTGCGATTATCAATATTTTTCAGGTGGTGATACCAGACCATTTATTCCATTGGTTCTAAATCAATTAATAGAAATAATTAATAGGCAAGATACACCGAAAACTCTTCTTGAAAATACTGGTATGTAGAAATTTGTTATGTTGGCATGATACTTATAATATTAAAAAAACTGGCATGGTTGAATTTATTTGAGACAGAAATTTTACAGGCCATTCAGATAAACTCTTTTCAATAATTATTTCTATAAAATGAATGCGTTTATAACTTCTGTTTCAGATATAAAATTAGGGGCGATTGAAAAAGTATGAGTTAGTTTGGAGTTGGGCTATTATATCTATCAATTCAAGCAAGTAAATGAAAATATTTCATGGATTTAGTGATGGGCAAAGTAGATTATTATCCATTGATAAGAAAAAAACTAATGACTTGAATCACAATGACGTGTTTTTTTTTCTTGCTCAGTGGATTATAGAAACTTAAAGACCTGTTAAGATTGCTGTATATTGGTGTATTTTGGCTCTTCCTCCAAAGTTTTCTCTTAAATATTTTTTTGATCACCCTTAAAGGTAAGATTACACATGGTTTTAGTAAATCCTGAAAATCTGCTTTTTACCAACCCTTCTTTAAACAGAATAACTAACTCCCCTTATAATCTTAGTGCAGTAATGTGCTTACTTTCCATTTAGTCTCTTCAGTTTAATTTATTTGTCTATTATTGTAAATTCCGGCACCAAGCATTTTTAGATTTTTCTGATTATACTCTAAATTGAAATTATTGTATAGGTACTTTATACGATCTGAATTGAGACGGTATAAGAACCAAATCTTCGTTTATAGGTGGTAGTGGCGGCGTAAAATATGATATATGTAATTATAACCAAATTACATAGTTATGGTTAATAAATGTCTGGTCTCTCAAATGCTATAGTAGGAATAAAACTAGAATCCCATTTATGAATGGAAAAATTGTGCAAAATGTTTTATTGCCTCTGAAGTGACTGTTTATGGAGTCATATTAATTCTCTCAATGTTCAAAACTTTACTTATGGTGGAATTTTGAGTTTGGGTTAGCAACAGAAATTGGGAGAACAGCTCCGTCTTCATTGGCTGTTGGTCTGCCAAACATACCTACGAGAAGCTTCCATTTCTTTTTCTAGTCAACAGCATTGATGATAGATTCATGCTGAGAGCTCCTATAGGCCAGAAGGAAGAAAGTCATCAGTTCTCACCAGAGACAAAGTGTGATGTTCCCGCCAAATATTTATGCTGACTAGTTATTGTTTAAACAAATGCAGTTTTCCTACTATCTTGACCCAGAGGTTATTCTAACGTGCAGTTGGACACGAAATGTGCAATGGGAAATTGAAATATGTGTTGTTATTTATTCATTTATTACGAACAAAAAACTTAAAACAGAACAAACTAAATATTAATAATATAGTTGACAAGTTGACATAGTATGATACATAATAAGAATACAATAGCACTATCGATACATTTATTCTAAAATTTCTTGCTATTTTTTTTCCTCAGAACCATCTCCAAACTCTTCGCTTGCCTCATTCTCATCATTAGCATTAGCTTCAGTATAAATACCTTTGTACCATCTTTGTTGTTAGGCCTGTGCAGTTTCCTAGACTCTGTGCTGATGCTTATTTAACCAAACCATAGTAGCTTGTCAAGGATCCCATTCATTTTCAAAATCTGACAAGCTACTTCGAGATAGGCTTCTTGATATTGCTGATACTTATAAGTCTTTCCACATTCGCACTATGCGATTTAGCATTCAAGACCCGTGCGGAAAATTTAGTTGCATTAATGAATTTCTAAGAACTAGTTGAAAAGTAAACCAACTCAGAATTCGGATTTCGGAAAGCGTCAGTTTCTGCAGCTTTTTCATTTGTGGATGTTCTAGTATTTCGTCATAGTCTAACTTGAATTGAGTTAAGCAAAGATCTTTCCCTGAAATACGACGAAGCCCTTTAATATCTACTGCGCTTGCCCATTCTAAATTCGTGAATGGTTTTATCACTGATAGCTAATCAGCATCTATTTCATTTCGGTAAGGAATTCTACAAGAGATTCAAGTACTTCCATGATGACGGCATCATAACCTCACTAAACTGTGCAGTGAAAAAAAATCCTTAGAGTAACCTCTGTCTTGACCACATTCAGAACTATCCATCAACTATCCTAGCTTCCAAAATTTCAAAGGCGTTTCAATTTGGATTGTATAAAGTTTACCTAAAATAATTTAATCCCAATAAAAATGTTTTTCCATTACTGCACTTTTGACTAAACAACTAAAAACAAAACAGTGTTGATAAAATGAAAGAACTTTGCTGGCAGTGTATCCTCTCTAGTTTATTTTAACTAAAAATATACTTAGATGTTTTTCTTATTTTGCAGTCATGTATTTGTGTTCTCTTTAGATGTATGTTGTGACAGTCTTAACTGAGCTATTTCTAGTTTAAATGTTTATAGATTTTGTGTTGCAAAAAAAGATTACTGCATATTAAAAGCTACAAAATTCCACCAACCAAAAAAGAAGGAATGGCACGGAGTTAAAAGTTGGATCCACTGCGTTACCTACTCCCTGAAATAACGTGTACATACTCGTTTGTGAGTAAAAACAAAATGGTATTTTTTGATTTTTCGATTTTGTTATCTACAATTTAAATTTATTTCGATATGGTTTTTACATATTTTATTACTGTACCTAAGTTTGATTGCTGTGTGACTAATTTTTCAATTTGGTTCATTTTGAAGTTCTTTTTTTATCAAGCACTGATTTATTTTTTTAACTTGTGCCAAACATAAATAATTTATTGAAATTATACATGTTTTGCACCTGTTTTAGTATTTTAATTTTTGAATTTTGTATTTTTCTAGAGGTTAACCAGCATTTATTAATTATTTGTAATTTTTGGCATTGCTTACTCTAGTATTCTTATAACTTTTATTTTAAAGTTAAATTTTCAATGTTTCAAAAAGATATAAATAAAATAGATTACATTGGTTACCCACATAATATTATATGATTTGATTACTATTCTTTCAATGCAATTTACTATGAATTATTTGTAATTGAGTTGTTTTTTGTTTTGTTTCTGTTCTCGGTATAGCCATAACAATTGGTCGCCTAGGTTATGTCTGCCCCCATGATGTGGCTCCAATGTTACAACAGTTTGTCCGGCAGTGGTCTGTAACCCTTTTTTATTATTTATTATTTTATTTTTATTTCGTTTCAATTTGTCTTTTTTGTATTAATTTTATTTTAAGCTCATAAGGAAACACGCTTTACTAACTTGTACCCCCTTGAGTTGCTTACAAACAAACTTTATTGACTGTTAGACACTCCTCAATTTTATGAACAATGTAGCTAAAAATTTTCAGGAATATCGTAAACAGTCATAGAAACTTGAATGTTTTTATGGGGAGAAAGAGTAGGATTGTTAAAATTGTTCAAAGCTTGCTGACATTCGGCCAAGCATAATTAATATTTGGGTGTTTTTGCAGATATCACAAGCCAGTCAGAGTGAATTTCATTGGTTGAAACTAGTTTTCTGACGAGAGGCTAGCGAAAAAACTGGGAGGCATCCAGAAAAAGGGAACCATAAAGAGATCACCAGTTAAGCAATGTACGGCAACTTTGAGCAGTACATATCCCGGTTCAAGCTCCACCAAACGATAGGGACATGCACTTGCAATCATAACCTGATGGAGGACACCCAGCATGTTAAAGAGGTCTGTAGCCTCGATGAAAGATGAGCGATTAGGGACCAGATTGTTGCCGAGTGCGGAGACCTTCGAATAACCCTCAGACAGGACAACAGGATACTGACAGAACAGACACTTAAAATAAACAAATGGGCAGACGTGGCAGTGAAAGACACAGACATGGACAGGGAAAGAGATGCAGAATAGGACTAGGCGGCAAAGGAATCAGAAAACAGTGCCAGAGACTACCTCAGAATGGGGAACTAGCAGAAGATTCGTAAACGACAATAGAAGCGAAAATAAAGAAAAGAAAAAGGGCACTCCCGCCATTTTGACCATGGTTGGCGATAGGTTGTAGGGGTCTCTCGTTGCTGAGATAGGGTTCCTTTGACAGTGGTTTTCTTATTTAGTGGGTTTACACACCGATTTGGGCATCCGAAGCAAAAGCTGAAAGGCAGAAGGCAATGATTTTCGAATCGAATGCTTCTGACTATTTTCAACCAATGAAATTCGCACTGACTGGTTTGTGATTTTTGCAGAAACAGACCTATTATATTGTTCTTGAACTACCTTCACTAACAAACCCCTTTCATTGAACTTAACTTTATACATCATTTCTCATATTCAAACTTACTGCAACCCACAAACTATGCGAAACGGAAAATCTCTAGAATTCTCGTAAATTTGTGTTCATTGAAATCACACTACTTTTCAATTAGGTCATTTGACGACGGCACCGTGTGCTGAAACATGTTACGGTTTCAGTTAAATAAAATTGTGGAAATCTAGAAACTTTTTTGTTTCCTTTCAAAATTCGTAATGGATTTTCATCAAGTATCAAGATTGTTATCATAAAATTGATGAGGAGATGATTTATCAATGTTAGGTCACCTTAAAAAACATTGCAAGAACATTATTGTGCTAGTCGATAATAGAAAAAAGTGGATAATTACCAAAAAACTTTTTTTTCTAGGATTTTAGTGTCTTGCAATGTTCGAGTGGCAAAATTATTTTTTAACAAAACAAAATTCCAGGTGTATGTCTCTAAGAAATATCAGAGATAATGAAGAAAAAGACAGCGCTTTTCGCGGAATGTGTGAAATGATCCAAGTTAATCCTGCTGGAGTCATAACTGACTTTATATTCTTCTGCGACGCCGTTGCATCTTGGATTACGCCCAAGAATGACTTAAAAGACATTTTTATTAAAGTAAGATAGATTTTTTAAATAATCTATGAGGGAATAATTTGATTTATGGTTGCAGATTTTATATACATTCAAAGCACAAGTAGGAGAAGAAAATTGGAAAAGGTTTAGTGACCAGTTTCCACCACAATTACGGGAGAGGCTATCTACTCTATACGGCATATGAATCATTTTTTGGGTAAGAATATTTCATTGAAAATTTCAGAAAAATGCACTATTTGGAAATTATTTTTCAGGGTTCAAAACGGGGATAAATTCAATAAACCGGGGTGGGACAACCTGGGTAAATCTTACTCACATGAAGCAGGGCGGTTAAAAAATTCAATCAAACCAAGATAGGGTGGGTTCAACTTAGAAAACATAAATGTCACTTCTGCTGGAAGAAAAATTTCCCTACAGTCGTGTATTTGTCGCCGCTGGCACAGAATTAAATTTTTTGCCAAAGTTAAATGCAGAGGCGGTAGGCACTCAGAGTAAAACAAAAGTTGTAAAACATCCGTCAACTTTATTTCATAATGGTGCAACACTCTGAAATTATGTATTTTTCATGTAATTTTTTTGGCATCTGGGGGTTCATTTTTCGATTGTTTAGCAGATTGCAATAATATAGATCACAGATCCGAATAAAAAGCGTCTTTATTTTTGCACAAATATGGAATAAAGTTGACGTTTGCTGTATACCCTGATTTTTGCAGCCCTTGCATTAGTTTGCAAATGGATAAGTAGTGATAGCATCTAATCCACCTGCAAATTAAAGCACCGGCTACGTAAAACACCCTGTATAGCTAGTAGATGCCTTATATTTTTTTGACCTTACACATTGCGTCACACTAATGATAGCGAGGTATTATCTTATGGAAATTTTGGATTTTTTAGAGCTTTAGTTTTTATAATATCGTAGCTCGCTACCTTTTAGTCAGACATTTTGTATTTAAAGATAAAGATCTTTAAATACAAAATGTCTGACTAAAAGGTGATAAAAGTATCACCTTCAACTAGGGTTTTTTGGTCCTGTTTTTATTTGAAGCCCAAAATATATTTTTAAAAGGAGAAAAGCAGAACCTATAAAACCCAGAGGGCCTTTCAAAGATGGAAAGGATTTTGCCATAAAAACCACCAATTACCGCTCCTGAAAATCCAGGAGGTTTAGAGCCGCATGTGAAAAAGTTTCTGTACAAATCACAAATAATACAACCCGCGACCTAAAACCCTGGATGAAAACTCTTAGTTGTTGATGGGCTTCAGGTGTGGAAAATTTAGCAATATAGTTACAAGATCACTTTTGTTGGTAAATTTTGCACACCAACAAAAAATTTCTGGGCAAAGAGTGGAAAGGTTATAATTATTTGTGAATGCTGAGTCTACGCGTATATTCAAAATATCCCCTTAAATAATATAAGATTAAAACACCTTTGCTAGGCCTGATTCAGGAAACTCCTAAAAACTTTACCATAGGTATATTTTTTTTACGACACATTGAGGTCTGGCTATTTCAATTAGACCTCTTTCCTTTTTGTCTCAGAAAATTTACTATAGTTAGGAAGTAGCTATGCATGGTGTGGTATATCTAATAAATTTATTGAATTGTATATCAGAACTTTTTTACTCATGTAACAAATTGACTAATTCTTGATCGATTTGAAATTTGTTTATTTTAAGATGGTGCTTTATTTTTTAATAGGGTAATGAATTTTCACAGACTTTTTTTCTAAAATTTTTATCAAATGGTCAATTAATTGGCTAGGAGCGTTTTATTTTCTATTATACATAATATATGTACATATATCCGCTTCATGAAGAAAATACTTTTTATAATGCCACTAACGTTCCTAAAATTTCACTCATACAGCTTTCTTGCTACTATTTTCACTATTTTTTTAAATATTTTTTGTTAATTTATTGTTATTTATTTACTCGAGTAATTACTTTATACACTGAATAATGTTTTTTTTAAATTTTTACTATTGGTTTAAATTTATTTTTCATAATGTATGTACATATTAAATTTATGATAAATAAAGAATAATATAAAAATAATTTTTTATATAATTCTTGGCGCTCCTCAAATTAGACCTATAGGGTTTCTTCTTACAATGGTTTACATATTAACACTAGGTTATTTAGTTTTATTCAAATTAATTTTTAATTTATACATAGTATTATTTTGTCACATAAAGAAATATTTTGCCAAATTCGAGGGGCATTTTATTTTCTGTTGTTTCCTTGATATTTATACTGGGTATGACGTACATTTTTGTAAAAGGAGACAAGATAAATTATCAATGCTTCTGAAATTTGATGCTTAAATTTTTACTTTTTATATTGCATTTCGAAGATTTGGTCAAATAAAAAAAGCCACAAACGATTGGTGGTTATTCAATTGTGTACTAAGACAATCTTTTTCTATGCAAGCAAATAAACTAATTGGAGTAAAATAGTTCTTAAAATATTCTTTTTAGTTGTGTAAGTATTTTCAAAAGGCACATGATTTTGTTATCTTAAAATATTAGGATTTTAATTGTGATATTAATTTATTTTCCTTCAATTCAAATATAAGTCATTGGCTCTTACATATTTTGTTTTATTTTAATCGACTTGTCAACGCGTATTTAATATTCACTCACCTAATTGAAAAATAAACCAAAGATTTTGGTGATAACTTGAATTTCGTCTAATCTATTTCAACTATTGCATTTTTAAAAATTACTCCCTGAATCTCCAAAAATAAAACTAAATAACAAGAAATACCTACATTAAAAAATCCATTTTTGTGCCTTTTGAAAATATTACTTAGTTTTGTATATATATAGTAGGAAACAGTCTGCAATCCTTTTAATCCTTATTGAGGACTTCTGGATCCTTGTACCTGATCCTGTTCCTGAAAATCCTTCGAATCAATGTTGATGGTCCTTATTTTGAATGATTGAGTTTTTTCACCATTCATTATTGTAGTTTTTCCCTAAAAATTCAGATTACGTACGTTTTTTCGACAACTAATATTTATTATCGGCTTTATTCTATTTGTTCATATTTATTTTTGTTTTAGAATGACTAAAATTAAAATATGATACTTTAATAACTTTTCATACTGAATAAGCTTTCTAGACTGGGACACAGTGCATAAATTGCCAAAATAAACACTGTAGCCACATGTCAAATGAATTTGATTGAGTTACATATTTAAATTTTTAGTTTCAAAAAAATTTACGTAGTCTTTTTACCCATGGGTTGGTCAATATTTGATATTTAATTAAAAAAAATCTTTTCGAGTTTTTCTATGGTTTAAAATTTGAATATTGCTTATCAATCCAACTAACCTCAACATGCAATGTGATAAATGATTTTTGTGATACAATATTAATTAAATGATAAGACTAACTAGTATTTCACAGATGGTTTTATCGAATTAGCAAGTTTAAATGATGGCTAAAATTAAATTTTAATGATTAAATGACATTTGAGTGAGACTTTTTTTTTGTAATACATGTTCTAAGTTAATTTAATTTTTACTTTATATTTTGATTTTGTTTCTCTTATATTTTATATTTTCACTCTTAGGACTTTATACATACTTGCTATTTAATAACATATTCATCATGATCAATATGTGTTGGATAGTAATTAATATTTTTTAATGTTAAGTTAAGTTGCATGTGCGTGAATGTGTCCTTTTGTTACAGAAGTCTTCGTTCCTCCTCTACTTTCCATTATCCAATATTTTTTTACGCTTGTCGCGTAATCCCTTTTTACTTTAGACTTTAGATTTTGAGGATTACATGAGTATTTCATGTACCTACCTAAGTTTTTTTTTATTGTAGGTACCTGTACTCAAGTAATATCATCTATAATTTACTTAATACTTATATATCGAACACTTTGTGTATTTATATTCAGTACGCATCAAAAGTGTGCCCCCGATCCCACTCCAATTTTGGAATTACGCATACATATACATATTATAAATCTATATTATTTTGTATATTTGCTTTTATGACAAAATAACATCCACATATTCTTCAAGCATGGATGTGAAATGTCACAGAGAATGTTTGTGAGTGGCGGACTTTTGACGCACACTGTTTATACAGGGATATTTATGCATGGTTATTTTTAATTTGTTGTCATATTGGTAATCTGTCTAATAAAGATTTTCACATGGTAGGTACATGGGCTATTTCCTAATAATTCTATTCACCCTAGAGCTAATTTTTCTTTTACGGTTACACAGAATGTATGGTAGGTACATAAACTATTTCTTAACACTTCTATCTACTCTAAAGCCAGTGGCGGCTCGTGACAATCCAAACTGGTGAGGCCCATGGCCCATCAAGTTAACCCAAACAAACCCAAACAAAATTTTCAAGTGTTACGCCCAAATTTTGACCCAAAATTTCATTAAAAGAACATCTCGGATATTTTTTTTTTTATATTTCTAATGAAAATTTTCATTTCTTACAGTTGCAAAACAACAGCAGTAGGTACATAATTCTTATTTTAATACAAATATTGAGTTTCAAATTAACAAAATAAATTCCAAAAAACAGTTTTTTAACCCGCAACAGACCAAAATAAAAAGTAGCCAAATTAACCAATTAAATACTTGTCGCAGCAGCAAGAGATGCAAGGTTTCTTATTAACAAGCCCAAAATTGTGCGCCTCAATGCCTATGAAAATTCGCTATCGTCTCACCTACAGTTGAAGGGTTGTGGTGGGGAGTGCCGTGGCATCGCTTCGGCGTTCTGTGACGCACATGAGGCCAAAATTTTTGGGATTGCTATTTTATTTTAATGCTGTCCGGCAACGATTTGAGCGCCTATAAGGATAAATAGGTAGAAGCGCGCGCTATATTAAAGAAATAGTATTATATTTTAATGAAAATTCGATGTTTTGATTCTTTCAATGATTGAAAATAGTTGAAAAACGTTAAATATTTAATGAATATTATTTCAAAATTTTACATCATTATTGTAATTTTTACATGTGAGGCCCGGCCTCAGTTGCTTTATACGACGAGCCGCCACTGTCTAAAGCTCAATTCATAAACTCGCCATCGGGATTCCGTTTGCGTCGGCCTCGCCGTTACCATAGTCGAAAAAATTCGAGCATTTATAAACTTGCCGCTTGCGCCCTGAAAGTAAACATAACCTAACTAACCTGTTATTTTTGTTTATGTCAATCTTTGTGTTTTTTTTTTAATTTGTTCGTGCTATATCGTGCATCTTTATTTTGTAAGTTTTTCTAAAAGTTCGGGATATTCAAGATATTCAATAATCAGCTGTTCCCTACCAGACGTAAACATCACGTGACAGGTAAAAGTCCTTGATTGGGTCTTTAACAGCTATTTGCACCGGTGTTCCTTAAAAACAAACTAAGTTAGGTAGAGGCTAAGCTTAAGGTGAACCTTTAGGTTGAGTTGCTTTGCACCGACCAAATCCTAGCTAAGAATTGAAAGCTATTGGCAACAGCGCAAAAATGCGTATTTTAAGGCAGAAATGAAGATGGAGGTACCTATTTCAAGCAAGGAATTTATCCGTTAACTTATCCTTGCGATTAAAATATAAATATTTTCGTTAATTTCGTCTTTTCTTTCATAAGTTAGGTATATCACGTGGATATTATTTTGAATATATTTTTGGCATTCTTGTGCAAAATTCTGTAAAAATTACCCGACGCACAAAAATAAAAGCATTAACAAATAACTAAATAACAGCAACAACAACCATAAAAAAAAAACTTCGGAAAACTTGTTTTTGCTATAAAAATAAACATAAATATTTTTTTTTTTGCTTTAAACATGCAGTCTTCGGAGAAAAGGCTCTTGGAACCTTGGATATTACAAATATAAAATCATCGATAATCAATTTCAACCAGAATTCTGTCAAAAAAAGAAAACAAACCCAAAAATGAGGTTAGAATCCAACTAAGCGGAGAAAATCTGGGGCTTAACTTAACTAGACTTGAGGTGTACACGAAACAGCGGTGCAAAGCAAAATCGTAGTTTAAGTTCCACTCAAGACTAAGCTGACCTTAAGTTGTAGCGGTGCAAATAGCAGTAAAATCTGCTACGACTAGTTGCTAGGAGTCGCCGACGGAAAATATAAAATTGGTTTATTTGAAACGGAACTCTGACGCAAACGGTGAGACCGACTGGAATATAAACGATCTGAGCGAGTTTATAAATTGGGCTTAAAGCTCAATATAAATTGGGCTTAAAGCTCAATTTTTTTTTTACTATCTTGTTTACACAAAATATAAAAACTAACATTTTTATAATTATTATTGTCTAAGTATAATGATTATGTTGAGCTTTTTTTGATATTCAGCTTTGCATAAGTATAATTATTTTAGCCTGAGACGTTATACTTTATTAATTTCCACTAAAAATCACTTTAACAACTTTTATTAAATAAATTGACTTTTATCGCTTTAACGTAAATGTATATATACAACAAATTTCTTATTTGAACTGACCAACTACGCGATATTTATGGGCGACATCCAGAATTTATTTAGAAGAAAACTCACATCCTCTGAAGTGTAAACATATTTTGCTTATTTATAGATACAATGGAATTCCCATAATAGACGCGCTCAAGACGTGAACAACTCAATTCGTAGAATATGGCCAGGCTCTCAATGCAATTTTGTAATCATATTTTCCATATTTAAATTGTTGTCTCGCTAAAATAATTGAAGCTAAAGCTGTCGATTTATGTTTTCTGTCAGTATAAAAATTAATAGGTCCTTTAAAAATATTACAATTTCTTTGCTTATTTTGTAAAGTGCCATTTTTGAACAGGAATCGTACTAAAATTTTGTTCTTTTTTTTTTCAAAAAATAATTCGCCTAAATGTTGTTTCTCTGTAAATGTGGATTCTTTTTTCATCATTTTGTTTATTATTAAAATTTTCAAAATTTGTAACCTCAATTACTATAGCTAATAGAACAGTATAAATACTATAATGTTCTTTTATTTCTGAGCAAATATTTCAGCAGTTAAAGCTCAATTTATAAACTCGCGTCGGGATTCCGTTTGCGTCTGCGTTTGAGTTACCAATTGAATATTAGAAATCCCATATGATCGTTTATATTCGTCGTCGACCTCACAGTTCACCGTCAGCATAGAGACTTCAGTAACGGCGAGGCCGACGCAGACGCAAACGGAATCCCGACGCGAGTTTATAAATTGAGCTTTATATCAGCAATAAACTCAAAGTGACTTGGTTGGAAACGGTTGATCAACTTGCTTAATAAGTTCAGTTCATGTTGTTTCTGGCGTCTGGCGCTGACTTTCCGATACTGTTAGCTTAGTTAGATATTTCTTGAGCTATGGAAGGCTCCTGAAATCAAAACTGAGCAAGTTTCCGTAAAAATTCGCTTAAACCGAACTGGCTTTCCTTGGGTAACAAAAGCGCGCATGCATTCGAACCCAGAAACCGTCTGGATATGCCGTCCGTTGATAGTAGGGATGTCCAAAAATAACCGGTTTTATTCAATACTTTAACAGGTTATGCCAAAGATGTTACCAAACAGGACTGCTTATTGACCTGAAAGGTCTGCCATGTCCACGCGACAACTCCCTACTAGGTATTTGTGACGTCAGCCGCAGACCTCAACTCTTGGCGTAAAATGCATAATCAAATCAAATCAGAAACACGCTTTATTGTCGAAAGAGTTATCTTATTAGAGAGTTTTCGTTGTATTGGCAAATTCGAACGGTTAACCATAACGGATACGAAAACAAAGCCGCTATTTGACAGATCGTAAAAATAGTTTTCGTTCAATCCGCTTAACGTTAACGTTAAGTCGAATTCGACAAACATAACCTTTCTTTAATAGTTTGTGTTTATCATTGTGTTAATATACGTTTTGTATACTTTGTTTTAATTTCTTAGTACCCAAAATTCATTAATTTTCCCTGTAGGCTTTACAAAATTGGCTACTACAAAAGCCTATTTAGATGCATCGTCATATAGGAGGGGTTGTTGGCCAATATTTCTTCAAATGAAATAATAAATGCTTAAGAGAAGTTCGTGTCCTATTGGTATCCAATGAAGAGGGGTGATTCGTAGGTTAGGACAAAAAATAGAAGGCCTGTTAAGTCTTTACCAAGTTTCGCCCAAAATTTTAGGGCTCCATCAGGGCTTGTACTTAAAAAATGATGTGGCCAGAATTATAAAAAATAGTGCGAGATTTTCAGGATGGAACACTCGATTGCACATAATATAATAAATAATATTGTCCTCATCCGTGAAACGATTTCTCGATCTTTTGAGGGAATTTAGTATCTATTTCGAAAACCAAAAACATTTAAAAACAAAAACAAACCACAACAAAAACATAGGAAATACTAATGCTTTCCGTTTTCGCTATGGTTTTGTCTTCCGTCCGTAAGCTCCCGGCACTTATCGGTAACGATAACGATAAATGCTAGCTCAAATGTCAAAGTTGTCAAATAGCGGCTATCGGAATCGCTTTTAAAAGACAACGAAAACTCTCTATTGACAAGGCTGTATAAAAATAAAAATATCTACCTACGTCCTTAACTATAATAATTCACAGTGACTTGTATGCTAACTATATATTTTTTTTTTCACTACTCATCTGAGAAGTAGTCATTATTCAATCATTTTTTCTGGGAAAAAATTGAATTTCTCTCCCTAGGTTAATAATGAAAATAATGAAAAAATACCTAGGTCAATAATGAAAATGACGTCATGACGCAAGGATATTGTCATAACGTAACAGGTTTCTATTGGTTTAATTTCAATCAAACTGACAATTTTAAAAAAGCAGGGTCCTGTATGTACATTATATAGAAAATTACGTAAGCTGTTGATAGAGGACAGCACTTCCGACAAGAGAAAATAATTTGAGCACAGGTTTCAAACCTATTTTTAATTTTCTACTAGCAGTAGTAAAAAAAATTCTATATATTCCTCGGTAGAGAATGTCATTTATATACCTTACGCATTATAAATCTCGGCGCTTTGCGCCTCGGTTTATAAAAGCGCTCGGTATATAATGACCAACTTCTCTACCTAGGTATATAATGTACTATTATACTATCTAGTCAGTCCGAGTTTAAAAACACTATAGGTCAAAAAAACGAATTCCTAAACGTTAAAATCACCTTTTCTACATTTAAAATCGATGTAAAAATCAACTCAGAACCCCGCCCCAATCGCAAGCATGCCATCGTGGTCTGCGGGTGGCGTCACCTTTATCAACTGCTGACGTCACCTGCAGACCAGCTGCCGACTCAACAACTGGCGAACGTACTCCTTAGGATTAGGATGAACATTTGGTGGTTTGTTTGTTTGTGTCGCACTAACTTGAACTGAACGCAAGATATTTCAAGTTTGTGGCGTCACCAGTTCAACCTGATAACTGCTTTAGAACAATAAATATTCTGACACAAACGAACGCATTTTTTTATTATTTTCATGCTTTTTAATTTGTGAGGGTATAAGATTATTATTATTTATATTCCGATTATTTCTATTTTGTGGATTTCTGGATTTGATTTGTGGCAGATTTGGACAATTATGGATTTTTCTAATAAATGACGATGTCGAAAACGAATTCGTTTTATCAAACGATGAGGATCGTGGGGAGGACTGTGACGTTGCAGGCTGCCCCTTTTTTATACAAAAGAAAAGAAAACGGATCCGTCAAACGTGGCGTTTTTGACTTTTAATTCTAGGCTGCCTTATCAGGTGCTTTCTTTTCAGAGCTTCGAAACCCCAGGCTTCGACGCCCTGGGGCGCATCAGGCTCAAGATCCGTGTTCAAAAATCTAACCTCAAATTACAAAAGCTGGGTTCGGGACGGCCAAGCGGAGCTCGAGTAGAGTTGGAGTGGCGTTTTTATCACGTGACCAAAAAGCTTTTGGAGTGTATTAGTAAAACCGAACGGCCAAGGTGCATTTGGAGTTTCTTAACTTAACCTATCCCACAAATGACAAGTATTATTTTAAAAACAACAAACGTTTTTCGAGTCTTTTCTATGAATTTTTGGTATTTGGTGCCTATATTTGATTTTGTTGAAGACGTTTATTTCGGTGACTTGTCTTAGAAGTCATCAAGATTATCATTGGAAATTTCAGTGAAATTACGCGTTGCTTGCATGTCAAATACGCAGTTTAAAATCCATTGCATTCATTTACCAGGTAATTACAGATTAAATATTGATTTGTTGACTGTCGATTAGTCGAATAGTCGATTGTCGCAATCAAAAAAATAGGATAAATGACACAAAATCACGAAAACGCACACAATGCGCATGCCCGCTCCGGCGCTTGCTGATGACGAGGTGGTGCTTTCAGAGTAAGCTCTTTTGACTCCCGCACGTCCTTCCCGAACGCATGTGGAGTTACTCTTTTAGCTCAAAATGACAATACCCGAACGCATCGGGAGTGTTTATTGCAGTTGGAGTTTATAGAACAGTCATCCCGAACCCACCTAAAGTATGTGCAATAGGGCAATCCAAACAAAATGGCAGTCGATGCCAGAAAATTGGCGCCATAAATTTAATTCAAACAACCGTGACATTTTTCATCAAAAAACTGTTTTTTGTGGATTTTGTGGTGTTTGAAGATGATTTTCTAGTGCTTGGAAGGATAATTTTCGTATTTTGAGATGGAGAGTTTTTTAGTTTAAGAAATTATTAGTGGAAAACCCAGATGTTTGCAAAAGTTATGATTCCTTTGTGACAAACCTGTAGGTACCTACTAAACAATTAGGTAGGTACTATCCAGGATTTGCTTCCTGTTTACTTTTTTCTTAACAAAATCCTGAATCCTGATGAATATTTTATATTTTATTTGTCTGCTATTCAAGGTATCGACGCAAATTGATGTGAAGGATAGTAAATGGCTTGGATCCATACACCGTTTATGTAGAGAGAGAGAGACTTTGGTTTTTTAATATGGATTTCGTCAAATTTTTTCTCTTTTGCTACAATCCATGAAGCCCTTACAAAGTACAGACAAATCGTTTTGCTCCGTTAAAAACATGTGTTTTGTCTCTGCAGGAACGGCATGAAATAAGACTTTCTCGAGATTAGAACGGTTTCTACAACTAAGGGCGGGTATTATAAAACTACTCTGAGAGTTAACTGAAAGTTAACTTCTAGAATTACATGTAATTCAAAAAGTTAACTTTAAGTTAACTGTCAAAGCAGTTTTATAATACCCGCCCTAAGTCACATACATAACGTATGCATTTTCCAGAAAATCAACACTTTACAGACTTTATACAAATCAAAAATCGCAATAAACGGCATTTTTTCAAAATAAAAAGGCATTGACCTCTATTTTGAATTTCGTTTTGACAATTCGTTGGATTGCCCTATTGTCCTGGTCCTGTGTAAAATTAAAATTATTCAAATCAAACGGAAAATAACTCTTTAGAAAAAGCTTCAATCCCCATAATGTTAATAACGGAAGTAAGTACCTAACTACCTTAGAAATATGGGGACATATAAGCCGCTTTCCAGCTGACGCTTTTGAGCACACAATCGAGCTTTTGCGCGCGCAAATCCTTCAAGGGCGTGTTCGTGTTCCAGCCGTACTGCGCTGCGAGTGCTGCTAATTTTTGCGTTTCAAACACAGAACACTGTGCTGGTACCGTGCTTGAAGCACACAGCTGGAAAGCGGCTATAATTATCTGACACTAGTGACAGTTCGGACACTACTGGAGCTTCGACGTCTCACTGAGGCGCTAAGGGTGGGGATAAACGACCCCTGAGCTTGATGCCCCGATTGAAAAGAACGGTTGTTTACATTTTGGGGCACCCAAGCCCCGGAAAATAAAGCAGCACTTACTCCTCCACGAAAGCAAGTACAGGTTGAACATGAACTAAACAGTTTGTTACAAAGTGCACTTCACAAACGAACGCTCGTCAGATCATTGCCATACAAACGAACAACACAAACAAACAAACCTGGATTTGGGTGATTCGAACCAGAAACTACATTAATTAACATTCTAAAACAACTCTTTTTTAGATCTCGTTTTCATTTTCCTCTTTGCCAATTATGTTAATCAAAATTAAATAATATTAATATTTTTATCATAAATTTAAATTCTAAACTACGACGTCTAGTCTAGTGCAAACAGTTGACGATTCGTTAATGACGTCGGAAATGGTGACACACCAATATGGCGGCGATTACCAAAAACGAGGCTGATAGGCAATATTTAGTAGGGTGTATTATCCTTGGGTGGGGAGGACTGTGACGTTGAAGGCTGCCAGCTTTTTTATACAAAGGAATAATGAACCAACAGGGAAACTTCAAATGTGGCGTTTTTGACATTGCTTTCTAGGCTGCCTAATTTTACTCCGCCTCGAAAACAAGTGCAGGTTGAACATGAACTAAACAGTTCGGTACAAATTGCACTTTACAAACGGACGCTCGTCAGGTCAGTTCATTGCCATGCATGACACAAACGAACGCCCCAAAGCAGGTAGTGCTGCTCCGAACAACAAGAAAAACAAACCTTTGGAGTTGACGCTTGGAGCAGGTCTATTGTCTTTTATCCCTGTTCTTCTCATCAAAAGGAAAAGATGAAAGATGCTCCGCGCGCTCAGCAGTGTTTCAAACTGAATTCACGATTAGTGAACTCATAAGGAACATCTTTTTTAACTGCTAAAATTAGATAATAATGCTGGGTTATTTTTAAGTGAAATTCATCCCTTTAACTGAAAAGGTTCGCAAATTTTTTGGACTTTATTTAGTTAACCGGGTTAAACCGAACGGTTTTACCAGTTCCAAGTTCCTACGCGAAAAAAGAAAGCCCCAAGTCAACAGTGTCAGTACAATAGTCACTTGTCAGTCTAGAATCTCCACTGCGCAGTGCGTTATGTCAGTCACTCTTGACTGCTTGAGTAGTTAGTAAAGAAAATAGAAGGTTTTGAAAGTTGTTTTTCCAACAAAAATTGAATTAGTGCCTACCTTTTGTAAGGTATTTGTGAAATAAAACTGCCTAAATTGTATACATCGCGTACGTATAAAACCATAGATTTATATGAAACCGTGGTGACAAGATTTGCGGAAAAAGTGGTTGTTGACATAAACCAATCCATTGTAACAGCTCCAGGTAGGTAGGTAGATTTCTAGTATCATCCCATTCATCTTGGATATTTCAAGGCTGAAAGCAACTAATTTGGTAATTAGATTTTTTTTCCCCTAGTAATTCCATGGGTACTTCTCCCTAACTCACTTGATAATCATTAATTAATAATATTTACATAAATATTCATAATATTTAGTCATCACCAAACTGGGAACGCACAAGTTGTGAAATCATGAACTCCATAAATTCCCTGAAAGCTTCCCCGAAAAAGACCCCAATTACTGATGACTACGAGATTACAAAACAAGTCCTAGGCCTAGGAATCAATGGAAAAGTCGTGGAATGCTACAATAAGAAAACTAGAGAAAAATTTGCATTAAAAGTAAGTTTGATGACACATTTTTTTTTGTATTTATAAAATATCATCATCCAATTGCATATTAATGATTCATGATCGTTTTTCTTTTCTTTTCAAGTATTGAGGTTATGTAATTTTTTTCAGATTTTGGTTGAGAGTGAAAAAGCCAAAAGGGAAGTCAATTTGCATTGGAGAGCCAGTGGATGTCGTCATATTGTGAATATTATTGATGTTTATGAAAATAAATACCACAGCAATACATGCCTTTTGGTAGTTATGGAATGGTAAGTGTATTGACCTACCTAATTACAATTAGTATCATTTTTGTGATGAATTTTGGATGACTCAAGATTATATCCCCTGCCAAACAATGCACTTAGTTTCCACATACAGTCACACAAAAATAAGCTCTTTAAAAATTGGCCACACAAGTACTCTCTTGATTTTTGGTATTTTAAATTGAAAGTGTCTAAAGCGTAGTTTATATAGACACGAATTTCGAAATAATTCTAGGAATATTTACTTTATTTTTCGATGCCACATTGCAGTGTTGGCCTCGGTGTTGGCACTACTATAATATGTATTTAAATGGTCTTTTTGGTCGTAGCCTTAAATAATTGTTTTTATTGTTTCTTTTTGTTTGTTGCAATTCGCAAGAGAGAAAACACACAATAAACTTGAGTACAAAGACAAAATAATTTATTTATTTTTCTTCTTTTAAAGAAAATAATCCAAAATGAAATAGCGAAAGCTGAAACGAAAACAAAACAACTGAAGGAGCAGAGGACAAAAGCATTTTTGAAATACGCATGCGATGACAGACAATTCGCGATGAAGATTGCGAAATATTAAGGGGACAACAGCACCCCGCTGTTTCTTTAGTTGCCTATCTTTTGAAAAAAACTGAGTTAATTAATCAAATAATGTTTATGCCAAATTTTCTGACGAGCCTTTTTTTTTGCACCTTCAAATCATTTTAAAGAAGTTTAAAATAATAAATCAGGCTGATGTAATTTTATTGTAAAAGCCAAATGATTGGTTAACTATGATCAAAATTTCAAATTCGAATATAATTATGTGGTATCTTCTTTTCAACCTTTTAACACAGAGCAATCAGAAATATTCGTTTGTATCAATTACATATTTTTATCGCTACATTATGATCAATTTAAAAAACATAATTAGTAGGTAGTCAGATAATTTGCATGTTTGCTTTTTCCATTAGAAAGGTATATACCTTGGATCACTTCTGCTATTGTCACATCAATAAGGCATAGGGACAAAATGAAAAAGCAGCTTGCAAAATATTTCAACACTGATCATGAACAAAGATACAAAAAATATAGAAATTATCTTAATAAATTAATATACAAATGTAAAGGTGACTATTTCAAAAAAAAAAAATTGAAAGCAGTGGAAAGGATTTAAAAAAAATGTATAAAGTCATAAATGAAGCCACAAATCAAAATCCCATAAAAGATAAAAACAGTTTACAGATAAAGGACCAGGGCAATGATTTTTTAAATAATATTGACATGGCAAATTATTGCAATAATTATTTTGTGAATGTTGGAGTAAACATGCTAGAAAAAATAAAAAGCCCTGTTGATGGATTCCAGTTGCATCAAGCTTCCTTACCTAGCCCCACAGGCTCTATGTATCTCAAACCTGTTAATAGAAATGAAATAATTGAACAAATATACTCATTAAAAAACAATTGCACATCTGGCATTGATTCAGTGGACTCTAGATTCATTAAACGTTTTCATATTTATCTAACTACGCCTCTAGTGTCCTCCAGTGTGCGCCGGCAACGTAGGCCGTCGCCTCATTGAATTGTCTATCAAAAAGGTGTTACTTTGATGTTTTTTTGGTAGCATTAAATAGTCAAAAGTATTTAGGGTGAAACATCGTGCCCTGTTTTCATTGTGAGAGTGAAAGCAAGTGAAAAAAACAATGTATTTTAATATCCAATAAAGTGTAAACAATCCCATTCTACCCGTACTGAAGGTTACCTAGCAAGCATTGTTGCCAAGTTGTAAACATTCACACAAACATTTTCTAGTAAAGTACATGGTAATGTTTTTCATGTGAATAAATGCAGCTGGGACCATGGAATGTGACGTATGTAAGGAAAAAAAATCTATAAACATTAAAGTTTTTCCATGTGATGGATGTAATTCAAATATATGTACTAAATGTAGCAAAGTTACGGCTTCAGAAGTAAAAGTGTTGGAGCTTCGCAATGGGCGAATTATGAAATTTCTATGTCATAAATGCACTAAATTTGAAACGTTTGAATCACTTAATCAGACTATAAAGGATAAAATTGATATTATAGATGGTAAGGATGAAATCATAAACCTACTTAAAAGCAAAATAAAAGATTTGGAGCTTGCACAACAAAATGTTAATACCACTCCGCTCTATAGCAACATAGTACAATCCACAGCAAATAATTCACTTATCAATAAACAGAAGATTATTAATAACATCCCTAGTATATTAATTATTCCTAGAAACCCACAAAATGCTGAAGTCACAAAAAAAGATCTACAAACATATGTCAAACCTTCTAATCTAAAAATTGGCATTAAAAATATCAGATCAACCAAGAATGGCAGTGTGGTAGTTAAATGTCATAATAAACAAGACTCAAACCTCTTTAAGGATGAAGCCGAGAAAAACTTACCTAACTATGAAATCCAAATTACCAAAATGAAACAACCTAGATTTAAAATTATTGGTTATACAGGAAGCCTGAATGCAACCGACTTGGAAACTTGCATCCGTGATCAGAATGATTATGTCAATGAAAATGATAACATTAATGTAACATACCTAAAAAAAAATAGATCTAACAATACCTACACAATATTTGGAGAAGTTTCACCAAATTTATTTCATAGGATGCTTGTCAATAAGAGGTTGTTTATTGAGTGGACTAGTTACCCTGTTTTTGAAGATATCTCTATACATCGATGCTTTAAGTGTCAGGAATTGTATCACAAAGGTACTCAATGCAAAAACCAAACAGAAACATGCGGTTATTGTGCAGAAATGCATAACACCCTCAACTGCTCAAAGGACAAGGATAGGAAGTGCATCAATTGTGTTCGAGCAAATGCAAAATACAAACAGGAACTTGAAATTAATCATGCAGCTAATAGCCCGGATTGTCCAACATATAAGTATCACTTGGAAATATTAAGGAGTAAGATAGACTATGGTGGTTCCAATGGCAGGTAATATATCAGAAGTGGACATTGGAGAACAATTGGATTTATTGGATGAAGAATTGCAAGGTACAACTGACTGTGATACACCGTGCGTTCGTTATTTTGGTCCGAGTTCTCCGAGCTTGACTTTACCGTTCGTTTATTTAAAAAGTGTACTCGGTGCAGCCTCATTCGCGTTCGTTTATTAAAATTTCTGGCACTTTTAAACAGCGTTCAACTGCTCTGTGCGCTCACTGGTCACGTGATTACGGCTCCGCTCAGCACGCTCTGCTTTTTGAGCAAAATACCGAACGCAAGGACAATTAAAACTATAATTAAATCAAATAACAATATTTTGAGTATTTTGCATCTAAATATACGTAGCATACATAGAAACTTTAATAATTTGCTCATATTTCTGGAAGCCTATGATTTCAAAAATTGTGATATTATTATACTGACTGAAAGTTGGTCTATTGAGAATATTAATCTCTATAACATAAATAACTTTAATGTTTACTATAACAATGCAAATTTTAATAAAAACGATGGCACTGTTGTGTATATTAAGAGGAGTCTTGATGCCTTGGTGAAAGACTTGAATTTCGATTCATCGAAAGTCACCATGTGTCATATAAATTTCAGTATTTCTGGCATAAGCTATGAAATTGTTTGTGGTTATAGGCCACCTTCCACTGACATACAATCTTTTTTTAATGACTTGGGAAATTATTATTCTAACAGAAGGAAAAAACAGATTGAGCTTCTGATTGGTGACATCAATATCAATATCTCCAATAGGGAGGATATAGAAGTTAATCAATATCTATCTCTTTTGCATTTCTATGGATTTAACAGTGCTATAAATGGCCCGACACGAGTGACACCAAGCAGTGGCTCGTGTCTAGATCACATATTCGTAAGAAATAGTTATAAAACAAATTTATTTCAGCAAGCTTCATTTATACTTGAAAGTGACATAACTGATCATAACCCTGTAATGATTAATTTTTCATATAAAAATATACAAAAGAAAATTATTCAGATATCCAAAATAGTTTCAACATTTAATGACCATTTATTTGAAAATCTAATTAAGGGAGAAAGCTGGAAGGAGGTTTTTGAAACAAATGTTGCAGATATTGCTGCCCAAAATTTCATTGAAAAAGTTAGCCAGTCCATAGAAAAAGCTACAGATCGCAAAACAGTTTACTATATTAACAACAGAAAACTTAAACCATGGATTACTATAGGTCTTATCTCAGCAATTAAAAAACGAGATAAAATGAAAAAATTACTCTTAAACAAGAACAGTCCGCAAGCTAAAGAGGATTACATTAATTATAGAAATAATCTGAACAAAATTATTAATAAACAGAAATTTAATTACTATAAAGCACAAATAGATTCAAATCAACATAATTTTAAAAAAATATATAATATAATATCAGACGCAGTAAATGAAAATAAGGTATATTCTGAGAAATTAGAAATAAGGGATGAAAGTGACAAATTGTTTGTGGATGAAAAGCAAATGGCTGAATATTGTAATGTTTTTTTTATTGACATAGGCAGGAAAATGGCTAATAAAGTGAAACCACCGACTGTTGCTTCTCAAATAGAATACAACGCATTAAGCTCTATGTTCTTAAAACCTGTTGATAAAATCGAAATAATTAAACATATCAATTCCCTAAAAAATAATTGTTCCCCTGGCTGTGATGGAATACAAACTAAAATGATAAAAAGATATTATAAATATTTTATTGACCCATTGGCACATATAATAAACCTAATATTTACAACAGGATCTGTGCCCGAATGTTTTAAAACTTCTATTGTTACTCCCATTTTCAAAGCGGGTGACAAAAAAAAAATAACAAATTATCGGCCTATCAGTGTTATCACAAATTTTGCAAAAATATTTGAAAAATGCCTCAAGGAGAGGCTTTGGAATTTTTTATCAATGAATAACATTTTATCAGAAAATCAATATGGGTTTCGAAATGGTATTAGCACTGTTGATGCTATTCTCAGGCTCACAAGAGCAATCACAAAACACCTTGATAGTGGTAAAAAATGTCTAACTGCTTTTCTTGATCTTGCGAAGGCCTTTGACACAGTGCCTCATGACTCTCTTATTGATGTTTTAAACATTTATGGGGTCAGAGGTGTTGTGTTGGATGTCTTTGCAAGCTATTTGACAGGTCGAAAGCAATTGACAAAAATTAATAATGTATTAAGCAATAGTTCGGAGGTTCTGATTGGCATTCCTCAAGGAACAGTTATGGGCCCTTTGCTTTTCTCATTATACATTAACTCCTTGACTAATATTCCGATAGATAATGGCATGGTGATATCCTACGCGGATGACACCGCTGTGATTTTTACAGGAGAAACATGGGAAGAAGTATATACACATGCCTCTCATGGGCTACATAATATTAAAAATTGGCTTGATACTTTTAAACTCACTTTGAATGTTGAAAAAACTAACTATATAGCTTTCTCCTTAACAATGGCAAATCGCCCCAATTTTGATGGCATTAGGGTAGACGGATTTGAAAGAGAAATTAGAGAGGTGCAACATACTAAATATTTAGGAGTAATTATTGATCAGAACCTCAAATGGAAGCAACATGTGACTAGGTTGACTAGTAATATTAGAAAATTAATTCGTAAATTTTATATGATAAAAGAAATATTAAATGAACATCTTTTAATCTGTGTTTATAGAGCTCTGGTAGAATCTCTCTTGAGATATGCTATGATTGTATGGGGAAGTTCATATGAAAATGCACTAAAACCCCTGAAAACAGTCCAAAATTATATTCTCAAGATTATTTTTGGAAAAGATAAAATGTTTCCCACCTGTCAACTTTATAGTAATAAAATCCTCTCCTTAAGGTGTTTGTATGTGTTGAGTGTCTGTTCTTATATGTATCAAAATGTCAAAATAGTGGGAGAACATGTCAGTCACTCCTACTCCACCAGGTCCAATGTTGTAAGAGACCTACAGATACCTAACAGTGCCACTAATTTAAATATAAGATCTATTGAATATCTTGGTGTTAAAATCTACAACATCCTACCAGTGGAACTCAGAAGGATGACAGTTAACAAAAAAAAATTTATGCATAACTGTAGAGACTTCATATATAGTAACTTTGTCAAGTTTTCATCTTTGTTTTAACCTTTTAATCAATCAGCCGGAGAATTGTTTCCCTTTTTTCTTTTTCTTCTGTCATGGCGTACACTAAAAATTTTTGATTATATTTAATTAGTATTTAGGCAAATATTTTAAGTTAGAAATTATCAAAATCCAGTTTTATATGTAGTAGGTACATACAGAAATTTAGTTTTCTAGGTACCCCACAACACTATGTTGATATAATTTAAAGTATATTATACATTCCATAATTATTATTGTAAATCTTTTAAAATTGTAATAATATATATATTACATATTATAAATCCAATTTTCAAATTTGGTAAAGTGCCTGCACATTTTAAAATGACTGTTGTATCACCTATATTTAAATCAGGAGAAAAAACCTTCATAAATAACTATCGTCCAATTAGTGTAATCAATAACTTCGCAAAAATATTCGAAAAATGCCTAAAAAATAGATTGGTTGAATTTTTACAAAAAACAATATTCTTTCAAAAAGACAATTTGGCTTCACCAGTGGCTTAAGCACATCGGATGCTGTATATGAACTTACAAAATCATTAACACACAACCTGATAACAACAAAAAGTGTCTTGCTGTATTCTTAGCGAAGGCATTTGACACGGTTCCCCATGCCTCCCTCTTGAATGTTTTAAACATGTATGGGGTGAGGGGAGCTGTGCTGGATGTCTTCGTGAGCTATCTAACAAATAGAGAACAAGTTGTGAAAATTGGCACGACTCGCAGCAATCCTTTAAATGTAAAGATAGGAATTCCACAGGGAACAGTACTTGGTCCAATTCTCTTTATTGCCTATATAAATTCTCTGACGAATTTATTCATAGAAAACGGTTCGTTGATATCATACGCAGACGATACAGTTGTGATTTTTTCGGGAGATACTTGGGCCCAAACCAGGGATCTGGCAACACAAGGTTTATTAAGGATGAAACACTGGTTGGACTCCTTTAAACTCACTTTAAATGTAGATAAGACTTATTACATAGCTTTCTCCATAACTGCTGCAAATCGCCCCGAGTTTAATACTATCAACCTTGAAGCCCTAACCATTAAAGAAGTACCTTTTACTAAATATTTAGGAATAACTATTGACAAACATTTGAAGTGGGACCAACACGTTTTGAAACTGACCTCTAACATTCGAAAATTAATACATACATTTTATTTATTGAGAGACATTCTCAGCAAAAACCTTTTAATTAATATCTACTAATCCTTGGTCGAGTCTTTAATAAGGTATGGCATAATCGTGTGGGGTGGTTTATACAGAAGCTCTCTGAAGCAGCTTAACAATGGTTATATATAGGAAAAAAAAGAGATTTTCAACTGAATTATTGTATTCTGATGAAATATTTGATGTTCGCTCCTTGTATATCTTGTTTTCATGTATTTATGTTCATAAATCTTCAGATCTAAAAAAAAATTATAAATCATTCCTATGAAACCAGAAATAGAATGAATGGACCTTTAGTTTTGCCAAATGTAAATAAAAATATAAGTCATAGGTATATTGGTTATCTGGCGCCAAAGTTTTATAATCTGATCCCAGGTGAGATAAAGCAGATATGGAACATTGGGCGATTTAGCAAATGTTGCAGAAGCTTCATTTATGAGAATGCTCCTCGATTTGGATGGTTCAGGTGATTGTTGGTGTTAGAAAAAAAATTAAAAAGAAATATATATGGAATATATAAAAAAAAAAGATGGAAATATGTATGTTATTACTACAAGTTGGTTTGTTTGGTTGTTGAACTGTTTTAGTTTTTAGTATAGTTTAAGTTAGATTAAGTATGGTATCAAAACTATTTTTCATAGGTACTATATTTTCATTTTACATTTTTACATCCAGTGTGTTTTTCTTTGAGAATTACCGTATGATTCTATGGGCACATACAGCTAACAATTTGGCTAGGTGCACAATTAAAAAAAGAAATGATTAGCTATATAAGGAATTATTGTGATATATTATAAAACTGTAAATTTCACTCCATAATATTGCTCAAATATATTATTATTATTATTATATTGCTCGATGGGTATATCAAAATAGATAATTAATAATTTGGTTGCCAAAAATATTGTTTGGTATTATTCAACATTTTCTAACTCTAATTTTTCAATCTATTACTGAAAGTTTCGAGTCACTTTCGTTATTGGAAGTACTTTGCACAAGTGATTTTTGCAGATTTTAATAATTTTTTTCAAAATTTTATATCAGAACAACTCATTGATAAGCGAGTTGATGAGTTAATTGCTGCGGAACTCGCTCCGCTAGCCCCGCAAAGGTTTAGAAATGAGTAGAGCTCAATTTACTTATGAAATGTAGGTACTTTCTACTCATTAGTCCAAAATTTCATTCATTATCAGTGGAGTTCCAGTAGGATTCCGTAGAATTCCAGTGGGATTTCATAGGATTTTGTTTAAAATGGGATTCTGGTGTACATATTTTTCAAGGTGGTTTACCCGTTGATTAGCATACAGTAGACAGTATTTTATTTTTATGTTAATTGATTTCCAAATACCTATATTTTCAATTTTACTTTAACACCATTTCAATCCAAAAAAATCTTGAAATTTAATAAAACAGCAGCAATCTAAGTAATGAAAAAATCCCAATATCTGGAAGGCTCTACCAGTAATTGTGTGACTACACATCAAATGTCCCTTCTAACTCTTCTCTTGATAATTTAAAAATATATTAAAAGCAATGGGATCAATTATCTTCAAAAGTGGTTTCAAACTCAAAAACATAACATGAGTTGATTGAATAGAAATTTGTGTCCTATATCGAATGTTACTATTGTAGAAAAAAAATCAAATATTTAATCATCAATACAGAATGTGACAATATCATGAAGACTTGCTCACCAATTCATTGTTTAAATTTGCATGTTATAATTATTACTTTTTAGTATGGAAGGAGGAGAATTGTTCCAAAGAATCCAAGATAGGCCAGAGGGAGCATTCACTGAGAGAGGTAATTATACTTCACCCGAATTATTTGCTTAAAATTTTTTTATAAATATTTTATCGTTTTTTAGAAGCCGCCCAAGTCATGCATGAAATTTGTGTGGCTGTTAAATATTTACACGATAGAAACATAGCCCATCGTGATTTGAAACCAGAAAATCTACTGTATTCGAAGAATGGTAATTATGGTGTACTTAAACTGACAGATTTTGGATTTGCCAAGGAGACTATCAATAAAGATACTCTCCAAACCCCTTGCTACACGCCCTATTATGTTGGTAAGTGACTTGAACAATCTATAAAAACTGAAAATTATCTTTTATTTTGTGGTTTATGATAGCACAACCTCATATTTCCTTTTTGTTTATTTTAAAACCAGATCATGATGCTAATGAAAACTCGGTATAATAAATAAGTTGAGAAATGAGTATATATAATACTAATTAATGTAGCGTTATTGTTTATTGCACTTTTAATGCACAATTTTTTTTTACCTTTTATACACAAATTAAAATAATTTGCAACTTTAGGGCTTACACTGTATAACAATAGAAGAGGCTAGAGAGCCTTTCTGTTGTCTTGTCTTCTTTATTTCTATCTTCTCTACAGTTTTTGGGTTTTCAGACATAGTTTGTGATCAAATTAAATTTTTGGAGATTGCTTGACCACCCAAATTCAATGACATGTCACCCAGTTGCCATCAAAATCCCTTGTGTTAGGTACCACACCAAAACATGCGAATTTTCTTGTTTTGATGTTGACAAGGTTATTATTTTAAATAAAAATGAATTATTGAATAAAAATGATTTTAATATATATTTTTTTTATAAACATAAATATTTATTTCAGCTCCTGAAGTACTGGGACCAGAAAAGTATGATAAAAGCTGTGATATTTGGTCACTTGGAGTCATTATGTATATTTTGTAAGTCAATATTTTATCTGTTGCATCAGGACAAACTAAATCGTACTTATTTATCTTAGGTTGTGTGGTTTCCCGCCATTTTATAGTAACCATGGCCTGGCAATATCGCCCGGAATGAAAAAACGCATAAGGACAGGCCAGTACACGTTTCCATTGCCAGAATGGCAAAATGTTAGCCAAGACGCTAAAGATCTCATTAATGGAATGTTGAACGTCGACCCTGCCAAACGATTGATTATCGATGATGTTATGAATAACAGATGGATCGCGGTGAGTGAAAAGTTGATTAAATTATTTAATAATGATGATCTTCAAGATAACCTTCTGGTCTCTTTTCTGCATGCAATTTATCACACCCTTTTTTCTTAGTATTTATTAAGTACAGTAAAAATTGAACTAGTACACACACAAAATTGATTTATTGATGAAAAATCGGCAAAGAACTGCCTACAGATAAATCTGAATAAAAACAACATAATAGCGCTGAGTAAGCAGATCAAAACAGCAGAAGAATTCATATGACTAGGGCTTGGGCAGCAGTAGTGAAATCAGGTTCTCAAAAATCTGAACATGTTGTTACGGTGCGCTTTCGCCAGCGTATACAGAATCAAAGCCTAAAATTCTAGAAAAGACTGCCTTATTCGGGCAAAGAAATAATCACGTTTATTCTGGATTTTATAAGAATGGATTAGGGATATATAAAAGGCCGGTATTAGTTGGTAGTTTCAAAGTTTTAAGTTTAAGATTGGCTGTGATATGATTTAGATAGTGGTTATTGTTGAGAGTTGTAAAGAGTTAAGTTGTTTGAGTTAATAATTAGTGAAGTAATTAGTGTCAGAGTGTATAGTTATGTGGAATAAATTATTGTTGTGGTAATTGGACTTTGATTTTTGGAATAAAAGGACTCAAGATTTCTGTCACGCACCCCAGAGCTGTGACATTGGTGTCGGAAGTGAGATATAATATGAGTACTGCAAAGTGGAATCCGATTGCAGAGTACTGGGGACACTAAGTGAACACTGGGACAGTTTGTCAGTGCAAACAGTGACAATCACAAAAAGAGACTTAACCGATCGTGTAAATTACCCCGGAAGTGACTGTATACCCGATTTTGACTGTGATAGTGAATTTTCAAGTAAGTTCTAGAAAATTCTATTTGGAAACCAAGGGAGACATCGAAATGTTCGAAATTGTGACTTTAGGAGGAGGGCACTGTTGCGATGTGCTTCGCCTTGGCATACAAGAGAATATCGCGTTTATTCTGGATTATACATGGAATGGATTACGGATATATAAAGGCCGGTATTAGTTAGTCGTTTTTAAGTTTAAGATTGGCTGTGATACGTTTTAGATAGTGATGGCTGTGATACGTTTTAGATAGTGATTATCGTAAGAGTTGTAAAGAGTTAAGTTGTTTGAGTTAATTAGTGAAGTAATTAGTGTCAGAATGTATAGTAACGTGGAATAATTTATTGTTGTATTAATTGGACTTTGATTTTGGAATAAACGAACCCAAGATTTTTGTCACGCACCCCAGAGCCGTGACAATATCAATAAATCTGAAGATGAAGGTTTTTAATACCTTGATATTACCAGAGGTAGACCACTGAAACGTTGGCTGGACAGGAGAGTGGGGAAAAAGTCGCACCAAATTTATATATATATATATATACAGGGTGAATCTGAGTGTGAGTGTGAGGGTTTTTTTTTAACAGGATATATATCTCGCCAAAATAAGTTGTTTGGCAAAAAATTGTTTACATGAAAAATTTAAGATAACGGAAGTACAGGTATTTTAGGGTTATGTGCATTAAAAATCTAATTTCAATAATCTAAGATTTAGGGTGGGTATTTTAAAGCTACTCTGAGAGTTAACTTAAAGTTAACTTCTGGAATAACATGTAATTCAAAAAGTTAACTTCAAGTTAACTGTCAAAGCAGTTTTATAATACCCGCCCTTAGAGAAAATATGATAAAAATTATCAGTAGTAATAGCCCAAGGACATTGATAATTGTCCGAAAAAATTTTATAAAAGATGTTGTTATAAAATTTTTGAGCATTCATCAATCTTCGAGGGTTATTCCGATAGAAATTTTTTTGACAGCAATGTCCGTGACAATGTCAGAGTGAAAACAATCCATGGGTTATTTTCAGTATAATTTTGACATGATTGGGTGATTTGTGTCACATGACAAGAAATACCAAAATTTAAGTGGCTGTTAGAACTGTCAGAAAATTTTCACAAAAATTGTTCAAAATTATTCCCATTTGTCTGTTGCTTCATTTCCCTCCTGAATTTTGTCTGTTTCACTTTAAAACGAAAATTGATGGGTTGAAAATGAATTTTTTTCTGATGGAATAATGCAACTGTGAGAACCTTTTATGGAATAAGACTCATTATGCTGGACTAATAATGGCTTTTTTGCGGCTTTTTTTTGAGAAAATGTAAACAAAGTGATTTATAGTGGAAGTCTCCTCTAACCTCAAAATAGCTGTACCTCCGTTATCTTAAATTTTTTATATAAACAATTTTCTGCCAAACAACTTATTTTGATGAGATATACATCCTGTTAAAAAAAAAGCCTCACTTTCGGATTCACCCTGTATATATATTGCAAACATTTTAGAAATTAAACTTCATATTACAAACTTTTATTTCTGATAATTAGTTGCAACACTGTCAAATTGCCACTTGTGACTTATTAGGCATAAAGTGCATGTTTGTTATTTGCTCAAAAAGGATCCATTTATCTAGCTTCCAATGTCAGTATAGGTTGAATTTGGAAAAATCCTCGATAATATTGATATAGTAATAACAATTTCTTTAATTTAGGACAAGATACAAGCTCCATCTTCAATGCGATTAAAAAAATGCCACACAGCTTAGCAGTCGAGTCAGAGGGGCAGGGCTTTTTGTTAGAACATTAGAGCTGATTCAAAAAAAAAAAAAAAAAAAAACCAAGTAACATACGACAACTCAAAGTATAGGTAATAGCTTAGCCTTTTTTGGCAACTGTGCCAATTTCTTCCTACTAATTATTATAATAATTATATCTACTATAAGAAGTTTAATCTATTTTTATTAATTTTAGCAATACACAGCTGTACCCCAAACACCCCTACACACTCATAGAATGTTGAAAGAAGGTGAAGACATGTGGCCCGAAGTCCAGGAAGAAATGACTAGATCCTTGGCTACTATGCGCGTTGATTATGACCAAGTACAAATGAAACCATTAGACAAATCAAACAATTCTCTGTTAAATAAGCGCCGCAAAAAAGTTTTCATGGCTGTTAGCCCTAAAAAAGTTTAAATTTCATATAAGTTGATACAGAAAAGTGACTGTAAAATGTTTATTTAACACAACAAATATTGGTTGCTATACTAGTCACTAGAACTGTTTTATCAGAAAGGTATTTTTGTGCAATTTTCACAGGAGAAAATCATCTGTATTTCTCACATAGTTTATTTTTTTTTTGTTAAAAAGTGTTGTTAGGTTAGTTATTTTATGTTATGTATTCTACACTTGACTGTTTGGTTACACATAATGTTATTTGTATAAAATTTGCCCACGTTTCTCAACAAAATGCTTATAAAGTTATAAGTATGTGCACTGCAAAAATTATTAAACATGTCCAAACAATTTCTATCCAAAGTGCATATTTTTGATGGCCAGTGAACGATTATTCGTGCTTAAAAAAAGATTGTTAAAGCGTCACAGAATGACAGTTTTCGATAATTCTTGCAATGCTTAATTTTCAGTAAGTAGTACAATTCAAGTTTACAATTAAACTTGAGAACATTATTTTTCCTCTAAAAATCTACCCAAAAAGAGTTTCAATAAAATCTATAAAAAGAAAACTTCTTAAACGATTTATGTGAAACTGAGAAGCAGGGCGAGTGTAAACGTTTCTAGAAAAATTTGTATTTATGTTTTTCATTGTATTTTAATTTTGCATATAATTTTAATCCCTAAAAAATGTGCATTTTTATCATTGAAAATTTAACATCACAAATCCATAGATTGTTGGCTTTGTCCTAAAAATTGGACCCTAATATAGTCCTATTGTTTTTTTTTTAAATTTAATGTGCAATGTCTGTGGTATGACTTATGTAAAAAAAAAAAAATGGTAAAGTTTGAATCGCGTGCCTTTATGGAATACCTCATGGAATATTTTTAATAATAATTCAATAATAAGCCTGAACAATAGTATATTTTATAATGGTATTTAGACACAAAGTTCCTACATGATAAATGTGATCGGAAAAAAAAAATACAATTTAAATCCATGAGGATATTTCAGAGTTTGTAACCTGTTCTAAATTAGAATTTTTTCAAGGGGAAAAAAAACCTGATGAATTTTAAGAAGATAGATTTTTCGCCCATAGCCTGTAGTTAGTACTAATGTTATTATTATATTACATTTTCATATTGAAATGTATTTCATTTAGAGATATTCTATGTAAAGATTTATTTGTCAATTTCAAAAAGCTAGGTCACTATCCATAAATCAAAAGAAAAAAAAATGTGACTAATTTTTTTTCTGTACAATTTTCATAATGATGATTAATTTATAATAACTATTTATTAATATGGATTAAGTTGTTTTTAATGAACATATTAAATTAATTGATTGACAAAACATGACTTTTCTTTTATTTTTATTTTCTTGGCGTAAACAATAATAATTGTAAAAATTAAATGTGCAACAAAAACAAGCATACCAAATCAGAAACTACATCTATAGTTGGGCCACCGAACAGAGATAGTAATAAAACCGAGCATTCAACCTCCAAGAGGCCTGACAGGCAATAGACGAGAGGATTTATACCCAATTTATACCTTCTTATAAATAAAATTTATTAAATGCATGAATTCATATTTTATGAGGCAATATGCATAAAGGGTTTCATTTAACATTCGCATTCTAATTACATACTAAATTATTTTCAAGACAAACAACATCAGTTTCAAATGCACTCCACTATGAAAATGTCTGCTTTTAAGAGGCTGTCGGGATAATTTATGGGGGCTAGTTACCAGGTAATCGTTTTATTACTATCTCTGTTCGGTGGCCCGACTATAGGTAATTTACAACACAAGGTCAAATTATTTAAAATAAAAACAACAAGAACAATAATCTTTCAGCCAAAAAAGAAGTTAACAATAACAGCAGATGAAACATATCTAGATTTGATTTGATTTGATAAACAACTGCACGTTATCAAATGAATAACTTGCAATGCTTTTCTCACACTTTTCTTGAACCCGTTGTGATGAAGTTCCCTAAAATTTTGTGGAATAGCATTGTAAATACCAGTTGCAACAAGGTTCTTCTGGTTAATTCATTATGAGAACACAGCAAATAAGGATTGGTTCCAAATCTATAGTTTGGCATGGATGAGTATTTGCTTGAGCATTTCCATATGATCTGTGGAGATTCGATAACGGTCTCGAGTTCCATTTATTTGAACATAAACCCAGGCAAATAGGGTGAAAGTACCTGTTGTCGGCCACTTAAGGCAAATTCTGGAATAAAATGGCGATTGAAAATTAGTGGATAGGAGCGAATCGAATTTAAATAATGTTTTATGATACCTTATAGTATATAAAATTGATTGCTGCAACAAAAAAGGCTAAAAGTATTTTTATAGAAAAATGCTTTTATTCAAAAAACATGCATTTTGCCTGTTGTCGGACAATCATCACATTTCTCGGACACAAAAGGACCCGTTGTCGGACGCGTGTCCGAGAAATACGTACCATTTCCTAAATGGTACCAGTTTGGGCACTTCCCACAACCAATATTTTATTTTGGAATTTTTAGTCAATTTTCTTTTTCTTCCACCATTGTTTGCACTTTTTTTGGTATCTTGTTTCTCTAGTCTTTCCTCTTTTTTCTTTTTTTGTGCTTCAAGTTTTTTTTTCTTTTTCTTGTTCCTTTCTTTCATAATATAATCTCCATGCCTTCGATGAGATTGCATTTGATAATTTATCTTTTTTTTTGTTTTCTTGGCTCTTATTTGATAGGTTCCAGAAATTGGAGGTGGCGACTGAAAGGACTTACAACAACGCAACATTTGGCAGTTTAATGGGAGTTTTTTTTGAGCCTCCAGTCCTATGTCTGTTGTTTTATCAGGTCTCTCAGTTCCAGGAGAATCGCTTTGATCTTTAAAAAGAGATTTTTCCATTGCTTCTTCAATTTCTATTTCATAAATAGGTACTTTTATCAGATTTATTCTCTGTACACTTGTGACACTTTTTTATTAAAATAAAAGCAGAAAGCACTACCCCAAACCCCATACCCATATAAGTAATGTAAAATGTCCGAGAACTTTACACCTACCTTTTCTCGGACATCTTTTCAGGTATACTACAATTTGACGCCTTTGTGGTTTATAGTGTCCGCAAACTGGTCCATAGAATCTCGATACAGTCGTCTTATGTATCTAATAAGGAAAATTAAGTTGAACATCAAATAGGCTAGAAAAAGAAACACATAGTTTCAACGTGTCAGACCAATTGTCGGACAGAGTGGCCGAGAAGAGGAGTCTGCCGATTTATAGGACCGGTTATCCGGACATTTAATAAAATAAACAAAATATTAATATTCATTTAATTTTTATGGTTATAATTGTAAATTAACATGTTTATCACTTAAAAACATCAAGAAAGTATCGAAAAATGGAGTATAGGAACATTTTTACTTACTATTTCCGTCTTAGCTTCACACTAGCAAATTTTTTCACTTGATCAAAAGGGCTGTGTTGGGAAAAACAGCCGACATATTATTATTTTTCTTAATTTGGTCTAGGCCCGTAAAGAGGGCGGTATTACAAAAACTGGTGGGGAAATAGTGTCTGAAAGTGGGTATTACTTTAAATAAGGGTTTGATATAATATTTTCCTATTTATTGGATATTTTGTCGTAAAGTGTCCGACAACAGGGGGTGGCCGGCTAACAGGTACTTTCACCCTAATCAAACAAATTGCAAAACCCCTCAATAATGGAAAATTTCTTATTTTGGTGATTTTATGGGTTTTTGGAAAAATTTTACGAGGGCAGGCTGATTTTTTCGGAGCTGGTTGGAGACTGTGTCCAGCGAAGAGATAAGCGATTTTTACCTTCCCTAATAACACAGTAACATCGCAGAAACATTCCAGAAACATCCATCAGGGATAATGAAGACGTCCCTGGGAGGTCCCTATTTTCCTGGGGACATCCCTGGGATGTTGCAGGCAACAGCCGTGTCATCATTTGCGATGTCCTATAAACATCTCTCAGGGATGTTTCTAAGATGACGCGGGATGTACCTAATACATCCGGGGCAGGTGTAAGAAACATCCTCTATATGTTTCTAGTATGACTTTAATACGTGAAAGAATTTTAGGATTATGGATTAAAAATTACCTAATTCAATAATTTTCAATTTTCGTTCTATTTTCTGGAAGTCAGATAGAACTTTTTCCAAAAAAAAAACAAAAATTGAAAATTATAAAATTAAGTAGGCACATCAGTTTCCAATAACATTTTTTATTGAAAAAATAAGGTACATGCATACTTATATTGATTATCTATCAACTAATAATAACCGACGGACAATTTTGCCTAAATAATGTAGTATTTATGCCCCGTCATGTCATCGAAAACCATAGTTTGGCAGTGGCAGCATGTTGTAGTGGGGGAGTTCGGCGTTTTCTTTTTTTTTTTGGTGCTCCAATTTCATAAAGGTACCATTAACTAACCAAAACAACCACAGAACCAAAATCCAAAGTTCTTGAAGTACAATTCAACTTGCACACCTAGAATGTAATCAACTATGAAAACAAAAAATAATTATTGGTTATTTTCTCTTACCTAATGAAGAATGAAGTTCGGGTTTTTAGGGGCTATTTATTAGAAAAGTTAGAAATTTCCTAACCGACGCCATATTGAAATTAAATAAACTAAACAATTGATAGTTATGCGACGTTATCTTTCAACAAATAATCTTTCTCACCAACTAATAAGCACTGGTAGGTCGCAGAGATCCTTTCGAACACAAAATGGCACAACTAGGTGTAGCGAAAAACCACAAATTGACAAATCCTCCACACAGCACGACGCCATTACGAAATAAAATTCCGCCCAACAACACAAGCGAAGCGCACAGGACGACCCGTTCGACTGATTCTGCCCGTCTGCGCTGGCTGCGGCGCCGACCCTACGTGGTGGCGTGCCCTCCTGTCCTGACCGGTACAAGTACAAATGCCTGAGCACGCGCCTGCGCCATACACTTCGGCTTCACGAATATTCACGATGTTTGAAAGTTGAAAAGAGAGAAGACTTTTATCAATACATATTTTATTTTATTCCAAGTTGTAAGTCGAATGAAAAATTAAATTTTGCTGTTGTTACAATACAAAATTAATATTAAGTACCTTATCTATATACATTACAGGTATATTATGGAATTTGAAATTAGTTTGTGTGTGTGATAGAGACATTTTCAGAAATCACACAAAATTGGCAAATTTAATACTGGGTCCTGCCGGTCTGAGGTCCTACCTAGTTTTGTAAAATAATGTTAGCCATTTTTCAGCTGTAATAAGTATCTAATTTTGAGAACGAAAAATCTTTTTGTCGATAGATATTTTCGAAAGGATGTTTCTAAAACATTTCAGGACAATCATCCTAGAGATGTTACATTACAAACATCGCAGCGATGTACCATTTATGTCGGAAACATAAGGACCTTAATGGTACATAAATAGGATGTTTCTGGGAGATCGGTGTTATTAGGGTTTGTATTAAAATATATAAATTTAAAAAAGATGCAACTAAACAGAGAACTGGTCACATGTAATTATGTTGTTTTGCTTGAGATAATTATTATTGAAGTGTTTGAAATTGTGTAATAATTGTTATTGAGTGAGTTTTAATGTGTTTTTAATGTCTTTTATACCAATGTTCCCCCTCGTAATGTATTTTTCTTTGTATTTTTGACAAGTCAGTGTTACTTTATTTTATTTAACAGACTAAGATCCCCCTTTTTTGTATTACAGTGTCGGTCCTGATGATGACCTATTATGGTCGAAAGCACTTGAGTGAATAAATATTTCATATACCTTATACCACCTTTCATTTCTCTAAGGCTAATAGGGCCGAACGCACAAGGCTTTCGAGTGTGATTTTTTGGCTCAATACTGACACAGTCTCCAATCAGCTCTGAAAAAATCAGCTTGCCCTCGTAAATTTTTTTGAAAAACCCATATATTCACTGGAGTAATATCTTATCGATGTTTTTATAAGGTGGGTAAAGTTGGCCCTCCACATTCGGTTTGGTACAGTTTTTCAATTGTAGTTAATTGTGCTCTTTTCCATACACCAAAAAAATCCTTGACTCTAGCCCCCCATTTTTTAAACTTTTTTGCAATATTTTTGGCTCATTCAATTGTGCCAGTGTAAGTGCGAATTGTGAACATGAAACAAATCCAGGGGCTATATCAGTTTTACCGCCAGCCCCCCCATTATTTTGAATTTAAGGTAAGCCATAATCCTAATTAAATATCAATAATTCAACCGTAGACTCAATAACAAATGGGAAATATACGACGATCTCTGATCTCTCCAAGAAAAAAATTGATTGTGGTAATCGAGA